CTGTGTCTGTGTTGAAGGATGTTCAAGTTAGTTCAGCAAGGAAGATCTTGAAGGAAGGTTATTTCAGGGAACTGGCAGTAGTGCATGAGTACATAGTTGTCTGATGTGACAATCATTATTTCTCTAACCAACTTTGACGAGCGTTTGCTTGAAGTGGACATCACCTGGCCCAGCTAGTTTTGACCTCCTCAAACATTGCCAAACATTGTCCGCACAAAACTAATACTTCGTCCATCTAGCTCGCCGTTCAGCTTCGTGGTGTCGCGGACAGAGGGGGCTGCGTCATGCTTGTTGGACACATCCGCCTCCTCGAGAGCTTCCTGCTCGTGGTTGGCGTGTGCGTGGCAGCCTGCTGTGGCGACGATCCCAAGAAACGCAACCCAACACCAGAGTGGACTTCGAATGCTCAAAATGCCAGTGACCCGCGTGGAACGTACAGAGTGGCTTTGTGTCCACCTTCAGTGTGCGAGGTGGACTTATTCCATAGGTCGTGTTTCCGCAGCAAGGAACCCATCTGTCCAACTCTGCTCAACATGAAGGCCACCGTCTGCTGCTCCGCTGGATGCTGTGAGCCCAGGAGTAGCCCGCTCAAGGAATTCTTTGGGAAATTCTGGTGAGAACTTTGTCCTGAACACGGCATGAACTGTTTGGCTATGAGTGTAATGCTGAATCGCATACAGTGAAAACTTCAAAGTCTTTTAGCGTCCACTGTGACAATAACTCGGTGGTGAAGACTTCCAGATGGTGAAATTTGCACACACGTTCTGATAAGTCGACGCTATACGTGGCGAACATTCCCACCACTACAGAATGAGTTTGAAAAGGGTGCGTCCTAACACGATGCAGTAAACGCACTGCAGAGTCGGACGAAGCCTTTCAAACCACTCGTTTTCAAATCAGTGCTCGGCCATGACGTAATGCAGCACGATAATATCAATCTGTACAGCTTTCCGGGCGACAAAAGCGTGCACAAAGAAATTGTATAGAGCCGGCTTACAGTACTGTGGGTGCCGAACAATGGAGTGCAGAAGAATGACCAGCCAAGGATTTCACCAAGCACAGCATACCAATGTACAGGTATACACGGTGACTCAACAGTGCATGGACTGTAAAAAAAACTGTAGTGCATGAAAGTAAGAGTTGTGCCGGGTCAAGTTGGAACGGTTGCGGAACAGACAACTGCACAGTTTATCTCTGCCATCCATGCATACACAGGCACATACCGTCTTTCTCTCTCCCTCTCTCTCTCTCTCTCCCTCTCCCCCTTCTCTCTCTCTCTCTCTCTCTCTCTCTCTCTCTCTCTCTCTCTCTCTCCCCCCCCTTCTCTCTCTCTCTCTCTCTCTCTATAATCTCCCTCCGTACGCATATGTATTTAAAGTGTGCGTGGTCTCCCTCTGTATGTACATGTATGTGTGTGTGATCTCCGTGCTCTCTGCTCTCTGCTCTAGGCTTATTGTAGCCATTGTCTTTGGTATTGTAATCACGTCAGCCACATCAGTGTGGCTTCGACGCTCGCAGCAGTGGAATCGCGGCTTCTACATGCGCCGGCGACACCTTAACCAACAAGGTAAGCTGATCCTCTGCACCCTTTTTCGTAACTACATAATAATGTAGTACAGTCAAATATCGCCTATAGCGTTGGTGTTTGATTTGGAGCATGTTATCACTATAATCGATATATTACTCCCTGCCAGGGTAATGTTAGCCATTTGCTCATAGAGGGTACTCAGTATCCAGGTGATGTCACAGGTCATCAATGTGCCACAGTTGGTGCGCATTTCATCCATGTGTCGTGCAATTTGCCACTTTTGCCAGGCTCCATGTCGCCTCCTTTCATTCCATAATACTATATGCTTTGCGAGACCAGTGACCCACTTGTTGTGCACTGTGGGCTGTCACTTAAAAACCAAATTTTGTTGTATTTCGAAGAAAAAAGTATTGTCGCTTTGGAGAAAGGGTTTGAAACTACTGACTGAACAATGTGCATCTCCTGTTTTCTGTCTCTGCAGGTGCAGGATCTAATACTGTAAATGCAGATACAAATGCTCCAGCACCAACGGCGGATATGCGTGATCATCCACCTGCCTACGACGATGCCCTCGGCTTTCCCAAACCGGAAGACGGCTTGGACTCCCTGGCACATCCTCCGTCATATAACGAGGTGGAGCTAAGACTGGTAGCGGGTGCTGCTGTTCCTGTTGATACGGCTACGCCTGGTATCGCTGCTATACCTGCTGCTGCAGCTACAGCTCCTGTATCTTCTTCCGCTAGTGCTACAGCTGCTGCTGCCGTTGCTTTTCCCCTTCCTCCTCCTGCGTATAACTCTGCTACTACTGCCGTGAGTGGTGACAACAACCGTGGCACTGATAATGTCGTTCTCACTACTGCTGCTGTGCCAGCACCTGCCCATGCTGCCAGCACAACCGTCACCCACAGCCAGCGTACTGAACGGTCCCAGTCGGTCGACGCCGAAGAAGTCCGTCCAGAGTCTACGTCGTCGTCGCAAACGTTTGCCCAGAACAGCAGCGGCAGCTCTCACCCCTCCCTGTGCTCCATACAGTCGGCACAATCGGACTCCTTTGCCGACAGTAGGCCATTGGTGTAGGCCGCCCGCAGCAAACCAGGGACAGCTACTGACAGAAATCTGCTGGTGATCTACCGTGATGTGCCAACACAAACTGACCAATGGCATGCTTTCAGTGCCTGCAAGCTAGACAAATTTCTCTTCACCAACTCTCTGCCCCAAATGAAACACACATGATATGACTGTAACGTTGCTACTAGGAATCCAAGCACTGCACCCACCCTTTTTTCCCACTTACCGGCTCAAACCTGCTGAGGTCTTATGATGATATTTAAATCCGCTTCTTTTCCAAGCATAATACATTATGTAGTTTTTTGCACATCAGTTTTCTCAGCATGATTAATGTCAACCATGTTTACTGTTTGTTTAGGCACACGTACTTCTAACCCTGAAGCAAAGTAGGCTTCGGCAGAACCATTTTGTAGACTAGTTTTCATAGCTGACCTCTGGACGTGTTGGTGTGTACATGTATTGAGGCTGTGAAGACTGAAACACGCATGTTCCACCATTGTGCCTTTTTGGGTGTTTTTCTTATTGAATAGACATGGTTAGCATTTTACCGTTCACGCTATTTGGACGGTCGGCCTGCACCGTTTTTTGTGTGTGTAGACATGGCATTTTACAGTTCACGCGCTAGATCCAACGGCACTCCTACCCCAAACCCAAAATACCGTCGGTTTGGTACCGTTTCGACGATAGAAAGCTCTTTTTAGCGGGAGAACGAAACGGTAAGATTCTAACTAGGGTTACCTCACACGTCTATCGTTGCGTCAGGACTCAGAAGCCAAACTGCTAACCGGGTCTCGAAAACACATCAAAAACAGTAGACCAGGCAGACTCGCCCTCTACACGCCGACCGTCGAAAATAGCGTGAACGGTAAAATGCTAACCATGTCTAATGTGTCAAGACACATCGCAAGAGTACACCCCCTCCCCCCCCCCCCCCCCCCCTCCTTTGCACATCATAGCAAGACTACCCGCGCCCCCCTTTGCACATTACAGCAAGAGTCCCCCCCTCCCCATTTCACGTTATGGCAAGAGTACCCCCCCCCCCCTTGCACATTACAGCAAGAGTAGACCCCCCCCCCCCCTTTGCACATTACAGCAAGAGTACCCCCCCCCCCCCTTTACACATTATAGCAAGAGTATCCCCCCCCCCCCTTTGCACATTATAGCAAGAGTATCCCCCCCCCCCCCCCCTTTGCACATAGTCATTATAGCAAGAGTACACCCGTGCCCCCCGCCCCCTTTGCACATTACAGCAAGAGCACCCCCTCCCTCCTGGCCCTTTGCACATTGTAGCAAGAGTACCCCCCCCCCCCCCCTTTGCACATTATAGCAAGAGTACCCCCCGCCCTTTGCACACTGCAGCAAGAGTACCCCCCCCCCCCCCCCTCTTTGCACACACTATATAGCCAGAGTACATAACCCCCCTCCCGTCTTGATTACAGTCCTGCATACCAATGTGTACTAGTACCCGTTTTTGGAGACAGATATTAGTGACTTATCGCGAACTGTACAATCATGTATATGGTACAGAAATATCCAAATGGTATGCAATTATTATTATTATTATGGAAACGGTTTACAAAAAATGTCAAAAATACATACCGTTTGGATGGATTTCAGAAGTGCGAGACATATCAAGAGTCGACTGCACGAGGCCGCCCTGTAGGCCCTACTCATTGTAAATAAATACATGTTCAGTTGCCAGCACTGTACATGTATTCTCCAACTGTCAACGAAAACACAACCAGTAGAATCATTCTTTTTTTTCCAATACAGTATTGCCCCTTATCTGCCCAGACCATCACAGCGATCAACTCATTTCCCGCAAACTGTACAATGCGGAAGTAATGTTTTAAAAGCACTACATCCCCTGTGTCCTGTTTCGTGTTTGTCTCCACATATCTCTCAGTAGGGTCGTGTTATCAGTAAAAAAAAGTACAAAAAAAACTAGAACTAGAAGCCGACCACCAGCGTTACACAACCAAATCCTCTCCTAACCGTCCACCATTCTCAACTAGTTTCCCGGCCCGCAATCACGAACGCACGTCTTTGACAACATCTGCACAAAATTCATCTTCAACCGAGCTCAACCCACCAACATGATTCAAGCTAGAAAACCAGTGTCCTCATCGCACAGCAGATCTACTGTAAAACAAACAAACAACCTAAACAACAACAACAACAACAACAACAACAACAACAACAGCAACAGCAACAGCAGCAGCAGCAGCAGCAGCAGCAGCAGCAGCAGCAGCAGCAACAACACGCCGTACTAAAGAAATCATATGGCGGACAGGAGAGGAAACATGGAATCGAACGGCTGTTGAGGCTCCTGGTCAGGCTGGGGTAAACCAAAAGAAAAGAAATGATAAAATGGATTGCAGATTGGATAATATTGATTGTGATGGATCTGGAGAAAGAGATATTTTATAGAGAAAAAAACCATACTCCATGTGTATAGTACGTACACTCCAGGGAGTACGAATTCCAGAGAAGAACGGAGGCACATGGCTCGTAGAGCATCAGAGAGGCCATTGCCATTTCAAAGAAGCAGCCTGCCAGAATGGTGCACACAAAGTGAGGTCTCACGCTGGCTTCCCGTAGGGGGAAATACGGGATGCACGGCACAGGGACCGGCTACGGGAACACAGCAGCACTCATAGCACACGCCCAGGCCCACACACTCACAGCACACGCCCAGGCCGACACACTGGGCCTAGTACGGACGGACGGCAATCCCGCGCACATTCGCCAAAGGAAGCGGTGCATTGCTGACAGCTGCAGGTGGCCACAGTGGCTTGGAAGTACGCGACGCCACATCTACTATGAGTGAGCTGCAGAACACGGAGCGAGTGATACACAAGGAGCACAGCAATCACGCCTGAACATATCCTTGACAAGCCCATGTTTACCATGGCAACCATGTAGGGTATAGGGTAGTTCACAGCACTGGGCAGCCTGATGATGTCCGCCTTCTTCATGACATATCTGCACACACACACACCCACACCCACAGCACTGGACTGCTTCACATGACTCTGGGACCAAGCGTCCTGTCCAGCGAGGTCAGGAGGTTGGGATCGAGCTGCTCGACGCGGCCACGCAGGATGGTGGGCCCGAGGAAATGAGCAAAGTGCGTCAGGCACTCCGCCGCAGCCGCCGTTGCCAACTGGTTGCTGCCATCCTGCAGGGATACACGCAGGAGAAAAGTGACGCTACGTTAGGTGAAAGTCAGAGCAGCAGTGCTTGCCCAGCACAACAGGCCCATACTCCAGCAACAAGGATTCAACATTGACACAAATTGAAAAAAAGGTGCACACACACACTGCGCCTGCAGTCAGCCGGCAGATACAACGCAGAGAACAAACGACGCAACTAGCGTCGTCTAGGAGGCAAGCAAGACTTCCAGCAAACTCTGCCCACACCTCACTTACCAGTGCATAGAAAATCGATGGAAGGAACGCCTCCAGGTACTGTTTGAAAGGCCGCTTGCCAAGATATTTGGCGATCTTGGGAAGCTGGAACACGTGGAAAGTAATAAGAAGAGTCCAATGCAATACAATCATGCAATATAGCAACAAGGAGGGCTAATTTCGCTGTAAGCAATTTATTATGTCGACATGCATGAGTAAAATGGGAAGCGATGATTGCAGGGCACATAACGAAAAGGAAAGAGAGGATTAGTTCAGAACAGCTTTCTTGTTCCATTCATCAGTGGATCGACGTAACAATGGAATGGGAAATATTTGAAACAATTCAATCCAATGTAAGGTTGGATATGGATATGCCAGCGATGTGGTCCCCTAGTGCTGTTATACACAAGATCAAAAACGAACTCAATAGTCATGTGACACTGCGCAATTCATACAAATAAGGATTTGCCATCAGCATGACACCACAAACCGGGCCAAATATGGATAATTGAACCTAGCTTACTATTGCCGTGGCTGGCTCAACGCCCTTGTCTCAGGGGATTCTGTCCCTGCATTAGCTATGCTTGTCACATGCTATGAGATTGTGTCTAATAATAATAATAACTGTTTTTTGTTCTATACATGTCCGCACTTCTGCACATAAAAGCTTAAGTCCGGATATAAGCGCACCTCCAATTACAAGCGCATGTGCTTATATGTGAACATGATTGGCGAAACGCCTGGGAGCTGAATATACTACTCACCGCCTTGCACACGGACTCCAAGAAGGCAAAGTGATGCGTGTAGTGTCGTACGCGGCAAGCGTCGGCGACGATTGGCAGAAGTGCGGTGCTCTTGGCCTGAGCGGGCTTCAATGCCGTCAGCTCAGCGACAAGGTGCACACAGCTGCACACAAACACGCACACGCATAAACACAGGCAAAACATGTAACAGCTGGATCAGATACATGTACGAGTACTATTACTTCTAGACTCTTCCTGTTACACACACCCGCACGCACGTACACACGCGCTCGCACAGACGCACACACACACACACACACACACACACACACACACACACACACACACACACACACACACACACACACACACACACACACACCCGCACACACAGTGTAACAGCCAGATCAGAATCTACTAAACATTCTTCCAGGCTCTTTCTACTACAGCTTCTGCTATTGTCGATGTTCGACGCAGAGTGACATGATACGGCTGCATGGTGATGGATACAAATCATCCCTGATCACAAATAAAACCCAGACAATGGCCGTGAAACTAACACTACATTGCAACACTAAATGGTCCCATTAGTCCACGCACCGGGTGAATGGCAATTCGGAGGTGAATACTGTAAAACATGTAATTTTCGGTGTAACTTTAATTAAGTTCGGTGATTTCGGTAGAGAAACCGGGCACCTAAATTTAAACAAAAGGCACTAGAGTATGCACTGTATGTGAAGGGAACGCTGGTCACCTAATTCTACACTACACCTGACACCTGGCAGGTCTCTGGTACCGAAATTTTAACGCACCTAAAATTAGTAAATTACACGTTTTGCAGTATGTCATTCAGTGCAATAAATTAAACACCCTACTCACCCATCTCCAAGCTCCCACGGCTCGGCGGGACGGCGAAACTTCGACGCGCCACTGCAACCGCCCTCATGTACTTGTCCGCCGCGACCCATCTTCGGTGCCAACGAACCACAAGAGTACATCTGTGACAGTGGCAAAGCAACACATGCAACACGTGCAACACATGCAACACATGCGTGAATAAGATTCCCTGGATTTAAGCCAGGGCCTGTGGAGAATCCATAAATACAAAATTAACAATTATACGAATCATGAGCAAATAAACCATGACACGAGTCAGTAGCGGGTGCAGTAAAAGATCCAGCATACACACACACACACACAACACACACACACACACACTACTACTACTACTATGTACAACTGCCACAAAATGGCCACGTCGCTCCCAGAAGCGGGAGACAACAGCGAGAAAAAAGAAACAAGGAGAATAATTGAGGTGAAAGGGGACCGTTCTACACATAGCTAGTGTTTCTGTCTTCGGTGGCGGGTGAGGTCCTGCGGGCGGGAGAATCGTTCGTTACATAGGCTGCATTGAATGGGCAGATTAGTCCTCTGGTCCTTTCGCAGTCGTTTGCCTCGAGTACAATTATGGCGGTTAAAACCAGCCTGACTCTTCATGCAGCGATCACAGATCGAGCAATGGTGCTGGCAGCAGTCCAAATTCAGGCTGCATCTCGTTGAAACAGCTGGTATTTCGTCCGATGTCTGACGCTCCACACAACGATGAACTGCAAAACCGCCAGCGCTTTGAAACCAGCGGTCACAAACTCCACAGTGACGGGCCCCAGGCTGCTGGGCAACAGGTAAGGACCGTACAGCTGAGCACTTGTGACGGTGAATCCCACGAGCAGTGAATGATCGGTTGCAAACCTTGCAGGTGACTTTGTTGTTGTTACACTCCACGAGATCATCCGGAGTCTTTGCAATTGCCTCGCGCCATGCTGGGCGATCCTGAGCCAAAGTGAGCCAATTCACTATGCCACCGAAACGAAGATCACGTGCGACGAGGTCTTTCCATCGCAGTCGTGGCCCACAGGCTGGGCGTGGATCTGAGAAGAAGCTAAACAGTATCACACACACACACACACACACACACACACCTCAGACATGCCCATCGCGGAAGCGATGATAGCGAACAGCTATGTTAGACATAGCAACTTGTGCTGGGATTACACCATTCAACAGCTTGCAAGGCTGATGAATTGACCGCCACTATTTTTAGCCTGGTATCCACCACACAGCTGTTTGAAGTGACTTTTTCTGGCCAGTGAATCCCTATTATTTTTTTCATTTTTCCATTAAAAAAATAAATGGAAAAATAGGGACACACACACACACACACACACGCCATAGCACTCACTGGCTGGTTTTCATGCAGAGCCATATCGTTGTCATGCGCCTGCTTCACGACGCCGAACGTGGCCGGACCGCTCTCCAACTGGCTGTACCTGTGCAGTAGACCAAGACGAGTATATAGTATTAGTATTTGTTATTATTCAACATTTCCTGGCTCGTCAAACGACTGCCAATAACAATTGAACGTGAAATGAAGGGTGCACACTGCACAGCAACTTTGCGAAACAGTACAAAAATTACACCGAACGACAGTCGGCTGGCAATGTTCAGACAGTTTGCAGAACTCTGAGTGGAAGCATGTGTAGTCGTGGAGCAATTACCGTTACTCGCCCCGCTACTATGCAGCAAAGCAGACCGCAGCGAGTACTGGGGCACCGGGGACAAGGCCCCTTGATCTTACATCCCTTTTTAAATACAGTGCTATTTTAAAACTCAGACCCAGTGCTGCCTTGAATGAGCGGCCATAGTAAAAACAGCCGTAGAGTAGCAGGAGAAAGCATTAGACACAGAATACTACGTGCAATTTATAAGTGCATCAACACTTTGCGAGAACTCTCGGAAGTTGTGTCTTGCTGGCAGGGCTGTGCACATGCACGGCAATGGCACGGAACGATTGACAGACAGTATGAGTCATATGCACTCCCCCCCCCCCCCCCCAACACAAATTGCTAGATATTGGATATGAAAGGGACGGTGAGCGTACTTCTTTGACTCATCCGCTTGATCCTTGACACCTTCCAGGCGCGTCTTGGCCGTGGTACACAGGAAGTCAACCGCTTCATCACCTGACACAAGAGAAACAATGGCCGTAGGTAGAAAGCAAAGTCAAAGAACGACAGGAATGGCGGCATTGGCAGTCAACTAGGAATTAGGAATTGTATACGGTAAGAAAGGGTTTGCTCCCCACACCGGAGCTCGCGCTATTCCGCCGACTTTACTTGACACTTGACTGACTCACGACTGCCATCCAGAGCACACGAGAAGTCCATCGAACCTTCGACTGTGTATTGAGCAGGGAGTGGTGCCTTCTTGCAGGTTTGCCGAGTCGAAGGTTCGATGGACTTCTCGTGTGCTCTGGATGGCAGTCGTGAGTCAGTCAAGTGTCAAGTAAAGTCGGCGGAATAGCGCGAGCTCCGGTGTGGGGAGCAAACCCTTTCTTACAAATCATCGCCGAAGTCGCAACCACTACTTCGGACTGTATAAGGTAAGGTACGGGAAATACATGAACGATTAGCACAGTCGTCACAACAGTGAGATCTGTCCAAGACAATCACTCTAGAGACATTAAAATGTGATGCCCGTGCACAGGCGCTCTTCTTATCCAAAGTCACTCGACTGGGTATACTAGTACTGTAATTTCACAAATTTTCGGTGTACTTTTATTCTCGGTACTTTCGGTGCGTCTGTTTCATACCTAAAATTTCAATACACCAAACAAACACTAACACACATAACTCAATAGGGAACTGCTTCTCTGTACCGAAAATTTCTGTTCACCTAACCTAGCTTTTTGCTCTCATACCGAAAATATTGAGCACCGAAAATTTCTGAAATTAGAGTAGTTGTACTGGTCTTTTGGTGCAGGTAGTCGCCTTATCAGAGTGCTGACCTCACAAGGACTTACTGTAGTTCACAACACAACCGTACTTACGTAGACAAGTACAGTACTTGGAGTGGAAGCTGTGTAAATGTAACATCAAAACTCACAGCACTACCTAGCTGCCTAACGCATTCAGCACGCCAAGGGCATAAACTGCTTGACAGCCATGCTGCAACATGCGCACGTGGCCACGTGTGTGTGTGTGTGTGTGTGTGTGTGTGTGTGTGTGTGTGTGTGTGTGTGCTCTCTCTCTCTCTCTCTCTCTCTCTCTCTCTCTCTCTCTCTCTCTCTCTCTCTCTCTCTCTCTCTCTCTCTCTTTCTCTTTCTCTTTCTCTTTCTCTTTCTCTTTCTCTCTCTCTCTCTCTCTCTCTCTCTCTCTCTCTCTCTCTCTCTCTCTCTCTCTCTCTCTCTCTCTCTCTCTCTCTCTCTCTCTCTCACACACACACACACACACACTCTCTCTCTCTCTCTCTCTCTCTCACACACACACACTCTCTCTCTCTCTCACACACACACACACACACTCTCTCTCTCTCTCACTCTCTCTCTCTCACACACACACACACACACACTCTCTCTCTCTCTCTCTCTCTCTCTCTCTCTCTCTCTCTCTCTCTCTCGTGCGCGCATGTGTGTGTGTACGCGTGTGAATGCATACTCACCATACGCAAAGGCTACATTGGCAAGAGCTGCCGCTGATCCCTGTCGAACCGACGGGATGTTGTCGGCAAGGTTGGTCAAGAACAGCTCGTACAGCAGAGACAGGGATGGCCTGTCGATACATCACACAGACAAAAACACACAGTTAATTACACCATGAAAACATAGAGAATGCGTACAAACACAAGAAAGTGGACCAAGCACAACCAACACATGCTACAGGATGAAGCAAATACGCATACAGGAGATATCAGCTACAGGTAGTGCTGAGTCGGGTAATATTTTCTTCGGGAACCCGAGGTCCTTGCGGGTAGCACGGGTACCCGACTAGCCGTGCACACCCCTAGCTACAGGCATACATTATACAGTAAAACCTGAATTAAGTGACCACCTCACGGTGCAAGCAAAAGCGGTCGTTAAAGTCAGGTGGTCTTTAGAACCAGGTCCCACAGTGTCTGTGTAGAACTGTTGGTGCATGGAAAAACGGTCGTTAAGAGCAGGTGATCGCTAAACACAAAGGTCGCTTACACCAGGTGTTACTCTATCTCCAATCTACCAGCTCCCTTGTAGATAACCACTAGCACCTGTACTTGAGAGCAAGTGTACGATTTGAATGAGCAGATATCGCAGCACACACAGTACAAGTTTTCTTTACACAGTAAAGTTACAAGTTCACGCTGACCATCATGACTCAGAAACTTACTTGCACTCGTCCGGGAAGCACTTGACGAAGTTACCCGATGCAATGCAAGCGGCTGGGCAGAAGCAAAGCAGTAGAACAACACCACCACGGCACTAAGAACAGCGTAAGCCGCCAATCAGATCAGCGCATGATGGCGATGCACATAAGTGCTGGACCTACTGCTGAGCTGTGTCAGCCCACGGAGTAGCTGAACTCCTAACAGCGGATCACCAGTCTGGGCAAACACACAGACTCGCTGGTGACCGTGCACATATTCTCCAACTTCCAAATCTCTAATGTTCAGTTAATACTGTAAATATACAAAATTTCGGCGCTGCAAAATTTCGGCACTTCACGATTTTTGACATTTCGGCGGCGATTTATTTTCAGCGTGGGGTAGAGGGCATGGTATTGCGACAGATGCTGTGAAAAATTTCATCGGCGTTTTAATTTAGGCGTTTTGGGTCGGTGCCGAATATAGCCGAAATTAAATAGCTGCCGAAAATTTGTATATTTACAGTAATACCGTACTGCATTGTAGACAAAGCATGCAACTCAGACAACAGACTCAGACCCCACAAAACAATCCACAAAAAAAAACAAAAAATCACTCCATATTGCCCTGGAGTATTCACAAATCACCAAACTCGCACAGGCTAACAGGATATCCCACGCAGCACTCCATAGGCTTATCTAAATTTGCAGTGCATCCGCCACCCCTGAAACCGCGCACCACTAAGCAGCTAGCAGGCCAAAGGTGACAAGCTAGCTTCTGAGAATTAACTGCAGGTAGGATTACCGGATTTCCCCGATAAGTCGCACTCGATTATAAGCCGAAGTCCCATTTTCAGATTTGAGCCATGTTGTTTCAATAATTATAGTCACATAGATAGGGTGTCGCACTCGATCGTAAGTCGCACCCCTTCTTCGCCCTTGAAGTTAAGCGTAAACAGGTGTGACTTATATTCGGGGGAAATCCGGTCATGATCGTCACATAACTCACCATCTCTGACAGGCCAGCTGTCGTCGCGGAAACAGTCAATCAGCGCAGGCAAAAGTGTGCTGGAGACGTGCGGCCGAACAGTATCCGCATCAATCTGCAATACAAACGTGTCAAAGGGAAAACGGAGTCTAGGCATTAGTGCAGATATTTATTTTATTTTATCTCCTTGGTAGAATTAAACAAGGCCAAGCAGCAATCGGCCTTGTGGCTGATGAACAAATCCTTGGTACAATGACAAGGTATGATACGATTGTCATGTTCTTCGAGACTTCGGCACATCGTATCAACGCCAAGCAGGAATGAAACAGGCTCCACTCCGATTCAAAGTGAAAAAGTTGTGTCTCTCTTCGGGCCTCTTATTGGAAAAACAAGCATCAGTGGGCATCTTCATTCATATGGAAGAAGGATGAAAAAACAAAAGAAGGAGCAGTGTCCACTAATTCAGCATCCTACCTGTGATGTTGCATTTGTATGTGTATCTGTTTTGTTCCCTTTCTCTGTGTTTTGTGTTCCTGGTTCTTGGTCTTTAGTTTTGTCTTCGTTAGTGCTTTGGTTTTGGCCAGTACTGCAATAATAATAATGTCCCAGAACATTACACTACCTTGGATCCAAGCTCGGCAATGCATGAGCACGCTGCCTCTCTGACTGCATGGTTGTCCGCCTGGCTCGCAGAAACGTAGAATTGTACCTGGCACGACACACAATCCACAGCACAGCAGAACAGCAGAACAGCAGATCTACCAACAGACAAGAAGAGATCGTAGGAATCTGATGTTAAGCTGACCTCTACAGCACACGCGCCTGGACAGAGGTTAAACCTATAATTTGTAAGAAGTAGTGGAAAGGATCAGTCAAAGTACATGCTCACTGAGATTATTTTCCACACAGCCCCTTCGAATGTTCCCCTCGCAGTGCACAAATGAATCTCAGCATCGCAATATATTAATAAAGGTTGACTGACTGATTGATACTGCAGCTAATTGTCCTCTTTTTCTCGTAAAATCAATACAATAAAAAATGTTTCACAGGATACAATCATGTAGCATGCATTGAATCAATCGCACAGTAGCATGCATTAACATTATTAAATCACTCGTACAGTGATTGTGCAGCCTGCCGCATCTAAGACCAAGCACTCACCATACTATCAATGTGCTGTTTGACAATGTCACAGCCAGCGTCTCCTACGATTCGCCGCCAGCTCTCCTGCGAGTAGATGCGGACGCCTTCGGCTACATAGTACCTGGAAAAACAGCACGTGAAAATTCAGTCTCTCTCTCTCTCTTTCTTTCTCTCTTGGTCTCTCTGTTTCTGTCTCTGTCCCTGTCTCTCTCTATCTCTGTCTCTCTCTCTCGGTGTTTTCTTTCTTGTTCAAGCAGAGGTTCAGGACAGGCTTAGCAAACAATCACCACACATTAATGTACTTCAGCTTGGCCTTGGGCAAACTGCGTTTGCAAGAAGACACTACCCCCTCCTGTCCCCAGTAAAACGCCAGCTTGGCCCCACTTAGTATGTTTCTACTTTCTAGTCTACCATCGATGTACTGAGAATAGGAGTGCCCTTGACAGGAAAGTACATGTACTGCTGCAGCACAGTGCACTACGACTGATCATCTGTGCCTGGCCAAACGTACCGGTTCAAGCACATCGGCGGCAGAAGCAGCTTCAGGTACTCCTGTCGCAGACTGGCGTCGCTCACGTTCAGAACGAAGCAACGAGTAGCTACGGAAGCCGCCCACCGTACCTGCACAGTGCCAGTCATATAACACAGACAAAGAGGCAGTAATTCTCGACATCATGTGACCCATGGATGCAGGCATTGACTGGAGTTGGAACCAACATGGACACCGCCCTACATGGTCATGTGACCCATGGATGCAGGCATTGAGTGGAGCTGGAACCAACATGAACACCACCCTGCAACTTGCAAGGTCATAGAGAGGTTCCGGAGTACGATTTTTCGTGCCAAAATCCGTGGAGGCGCTACGGATTTTTTTATACGTCGTTTTCGAGCAGTGAAATGTTCCGGAGTACGGAACTTATGTGTTTGCCATCATTGCCTACATAGGTATACATAGGTTACGATCGCAACCACATCATATTCCCACGCTATGCCTTTATATTTTGAAAATTTGTACCGAAATCCAAACTTCCCGTGGAAAATCGATGTTTCTCGTACCGAATTTGTACGTGAAAAATCTTTCGGCACTCGATAACGCAAAATCTCCATACGAAACATGGTTCGTATGAAAGCCAGTCCATAAGGATTCTCGTGCCGAAAAATCGTATGAAGCACGCCTTTGAAAAAATCCGTAGCGCCCATACGGATTTTGGCACGGAAAATCGTACCCCGGAACCTCTCTCATGTGACCCATGGATGAAAGGATTGACAGGAGTTGTAACCAACATGGCTGTCTTGTATTTTTCATGGGATGGATGTGCAGCAGCTCTATATGGAAGACGGCTGTGTCAGCATGGCAAATGCCTATACACAGATGGAGGGCATGGCAGAGCTGTGCTGAAGGGTTTGCCTCGCTTACTTGGCTCCAGTTGTCCGCCAGGCCCTTAGCTAGATGAGCGGCGAACTCCATGCCCAGGTCACGGGCAAAGATGTTGGTACCGACAGCGGTAGAGCCGCTGCCCTTACCCTCCGCACCTGCAACAACACACGAATAGGACGAGTCAGAACAGTCAGGCACGCATACTAGTAGTAGAAACCTGCCGCTGCTCACAGAGTGCTCACTGCCACACGGGGGCAGAGAGTCCTTACACAGGTTGCAGATTAGATAAAGTGTGAAACCTGAGTAGCAGAACCCCTGAGTAGCAGAGAAACCTCATTCTGCCTTCTGAGTAATCAGGGATACTGGTACGTGCAAAATACACGCCAGCTCGAAAAGCCATTACTAGTACAGCAAGCAGCTATCGCTCTACCGTGCGCATGTGTGTGTGTGTGTGTGTGTGTGTGTGTGTGTGTGTGTGTGTGTGTGTGTGTGTGTGTGTGTGTGTGTGTGTGCAAGCGCGTGTGTGTGCGTGCATGTGTGTCTAGTCCATAGGTCTTTGCTTTTGTCTTGTCGCAAAGATCAGCCAGATCCAGTCAAAGGAGAACAAGCAGTACTAGTAGCAGAGCAATAACACAATGCACATGCCCAAGGAGGGATAGGTACATGCTCAGCACGCCTCTCATCCGCTTACCTGCCGTGGACGCTTTCGATGGCGAGGAGGAACTCGGCTCACCAGCGGAGCCCTGTACCAGCGAGCCGCAAAGCAGAAAGGCAGTCTCGCGCACAAAGCGGTTCATGTGTGTCAGCGCAATGTAGATCAGGTCCAGGAAGCTCTGGTCAATGTAGGGATCAAAGCGTACTCCGCAACCCTTCACCATTGCACTCAGGCATCTAGCGAGGCAAACCAAAGACACGAAGGAGAGAATACGGCATGCTTAACTACATCTTCGTGCCAAGTTAAGATCGACCATTCGACAATAAATTCAACCACATCAATTACACCATGCGTGTGTAAAATCAAATGTTGCTGAATATGTGAAATGCCAGCTGAGTGCATACAAGAATCTCCCTACGAAGAGCCGAAGGACGGCATAACAATATACACCGTAATGCTGAGACTCGCACGGGATGTAACCCTCAACACAACGCAGCTGCAAGTACCTTCTGCCACCCACCATTGAGCACTCTGTGAGGAGCGGAGTGGGTCTACTACAGTCAGACCTCGCTTAACCGCACACATCCGTTTTCAACAAATAATCCAAAGAGGCGAGGGAACCGGATAATCGAACACACATGCTATAGGTGTGCATGGCATATGCTTTAAATCGGTAACCGACGATTTTCTTCCGGATGGTGAGGGATCCGGAAGAAAGAGGACCGGATACGCGAGGTCTGACTGCAATAGTGACTATGCCGGGGGGGGGTTACAAACACCATCCCCTGCTAAGCCTTGGGGCTACACAGACTATTCGTTTACAAAGACCATAGGCGGCATGCAGATCGCCAGACTACAGTGAAACCTGTCCAGGTGACCAGTCGGATAACGCGACCACCTGCCCCAGAAGACCACTGTAGCCAGGACCAAGGGATGCTATTCCCAGTCAAACGACCGTGGATAAGGAGACCACATTTTGAAGGTCTCTTGAGCGGTCGCCTTAAAACCTGCATATGATCTTACAGCATGCACACACACAGGGCGGTGCAGGAACTGTATATCACAGGAACAATGTTCCTGGACGAGGTGGTGTGAAAACCCAGCCACAACAACAGCGAACGCGGACTACTTCAGCCGAGATTCAACCCAGCTCACGCACACATAAACAAACACACACGCGCGCGCGCGCGCGCGCACACACATACACACACACACACACACACACCATTGGACCATTGGACGCCCATCGCCGGAGGCGATGATAGCGATGCTACAGCAGGAGCCATAGCAACTTGTGCTGGGATTGCACCATTCATCAGCTTGCAAGGCTGAAGAATTGGCCGCCGCTATTCAGCCTGGTCGACACCACACAGCTACGAAGTGCCTTTTTCTGGCCAGTGAATCCCTATTTTTTGGTCTTTTTGTTTATTTTTCCTGCACACACATCACACCACATACTCCGGCATGCACTGGCTGTTGGTAACCACCCAGGAGAATGAAAGAAAAGTCAGGAAGAGTCTGAGAAAGAGAAGAAAGACGTGTGTAACCATAATCGTCGGGAATCGAACACACACACACACACACACACACACACACACACACACACACACACACACACACACACAGCGGCATCACTTACTTCATGCTGCTTTCCAAGGCTTTCCAGCCGGCCGTGTCATGTAAGATCTGCTCCGCTGCTGGTGTTGTCTGCAGAGTACACAGTGAGATGTAGCCGAAAACACCAACACACATTACACATAAAATAAGCACCAGCAGGGCAAATATTCCATGGCATTCAAAATACGTACATGCAGGTCCAAATCAGTAAATCTGAGCGTATCATACACCACTCGGAGCCAACACTTTAGAGAGAATCGCAAATACTGGATTTACTCCTCTCACCCAAGCCATTCAGCATACGAGAAGCTGTGGACGCTGCTACACTTCAACGTGGGAATGCATACAATAAATAATAATAATAATAAACACTGGACATGGCTTACAGGGCGAGACGTCTCCACTGCGGTAGCGTCGGACGTGGAGGACGACAGTGCCGTGGACAGCTTGCCGACTTCGTCCTCGGAGACGCGCAGGTGCTCAAAGTCACGCGTCAGGTTGTCGCGGATGGTCTGCAGCACCACGTCGCGCACCTCCACATAGACCTTCGGGCCCAGCGAGGCGGAGAGCAAGCCAAGAACATCTCCTGCAAAGCAAACAACAGGCAACAGTATATTGTCTCGATCCATATCCTCCGTTGCTGTGCCGGATGATCCGTCGTTATCACTTCCAGCTCTTCGTGCCCACAGCCAACTTCATGAAACATTTGTTCAGGTCATCACCACAACTGCGGATGTTAGAAAGGCTATCGCCCGACTAAAGTCTCGCCGCAGTCCTGGCTTGGACACCATTACGAATGATGTCCTGAAGAAACTTGCCCCGTCGATATCGTACCCCCTCTGCCGTATTTTTAATGTGTCCTTTTCGACTGGTAAATTTCCAGCAGCATGGAAACTCGCGAAGGTTGTTCCGGTTTACAAGAGCAAAGGCTCCAAGTCACAAGCCAGCAATTACCGTCCTATCTCCTTGTTGTCCTGTGTATCGAAACTATGTGAGCGATTATTCTTTGATAAGCTTTATGCTCATGTGTCGCCGGCCCTTGCCCCAGTCCAATCTGGTTTTCGACGAGGAGACTCAACCACCATGCAGCTGACACGCCTTGTGCAGGACATTGTGGCCCTTCGTCATGACCACCAACATGTTGGTATGTGTTTTTTCGACCTAGCAAAGGCGTTTGACACGGTATGGTTCCGTGGACTCCTAGCTAAATTATCTGCGATGTACAATGTTTCCGGAGCGTCTCTGGCGTGGACTACGGACTACCTAACAGATAGAACGCAATCAGTGTCAGTCGAAGGGGTACTCTCAGACCCACTGCCTGTGAAGTCGGGAGTCCCCCAGGGATCTATACTGGGGCCTCTACTATTCTTGTTGTATATAAACGATCTACCTGACTGTATAGATGGTTTGTCACTATTTGCTGATGACACAGCCCTCATTCAGTTTGACGCCGACATTGCAAACCTGTGTACGAAGCTTCAGAATGGAATCAATGTTGTTCATAAATGGATGTTGTCATGGCGTCTGAAACCCAATATCTTGAAAACAGAAATAGTCTTTCTCCCTCAACTAGACCACCCTCCCACATTTACCCTTCCCGGACTTGATTCGGCTATTAACATTAATATTGTAGATACGCACAGGCATTTGGGTGTTGTATTTGACTCGCAATTGTCCTGGAATTCTCACGTAGATTTTGTATGCAACAAAGTTAGCAAATCTGTAGGTTGCCTGATGTCTCACTGCTCCCACTTGTCCCCCGAATGTATTCGTCTCTTTTATAAATGCTACCTCCTTCCTATCTTTCTGTACGGCGCCACTGCTTGGCATTCCCTGCTTAGTAAATCTGCTGTACAGACACTAGAAATATATCATAAACGTGTGTTGAAAATTATTTTTCGTAAACCCTCTCTTTTCCCCTCTACTGATCTATATAGTTTGGCCTCCACCAGCCCCATCTCTATCCTGTCGCAGAGACAGTCATGCGTTCTGGTCCATCGTATTAAACTCAACATTGTCCCTGAACATCTCACCAAGTATAATTGGTTTACTTTCGCACGGGACACTCGCAATGGCATAGTACTTCCCAGTGCTCTGTCAACTATGTTTACCAAATCTCCTATCTTCTCTGCATACTCGTATTGGCTCAAGCTGCCCATGGAAATGAAGACAATATCCAATATTAGACAGTTCATAGACCATGTTAAATGTCATGCCACGTTGTAGGCTCGCTCGCCTCTTTTGCTAGCTTCTCTCGCCGCTCTCCACCATGGTCAACATAGTGATACATTTCACCCCGCTGATGCATTATTTTCTTCCGATTATCATCTTCTTTCCTTCATTTTTTTCTTCTCTTGCCATGGCTGGCTAACGCCCCCTCCTTTGCATTGGCTTCTGCCATTGGACGGTGAAATAAATATAATAAAATATTATTCATTACCTACTACTGCAAGGGGTCGTCCATAAATATCGAACTTTTTTCTTCACAAAAATGAAATAATTTTGTTATGGGGTGGGACGGACCGGGAGTTGACCAATTTCATTTGAAAAAACATTGATGCATGCAGGAGCAGTGACACACTTGCAACTTTTGTTGTATTACGCATGCATATGTCAACATTTTTTTAACGTTCTGAGGGGGAGGGAGGGATTGGGTCTAAACTAAAAATTAGTTCGTTTGGTGAAAAAAGTTCGATATTTACGGACGGCCTTTAAGGTCTACACATTGTCGGCAGGTTTGAACACGGTGCATGCCTGTGTGTGTGTGCATGTGTGTGCGCGTGCGTGTGTGTCTGTCTATCACACACACACACACACACACACAGACACACACACACACACTCTCTCTCTCTCTCTCTCTCTCTCTCTCTCTCTCTCTCTCTCTCTCCTGAAGTAGGTAGAATAACAATTGCAAAAGGAAGTTGATCACTTCCACCCGTCGGTGAATTTCATTCCGTACATATTATATTAAAAACTCCTGCCCGTGCATGAAAAGCCATCAGAGCTGTTTACGAAACAACTCCACCTACAAAAACTGCTCTATATGTACATGTAACCAGGTGTCATTATTCATGCAACCCTGTACACAGTCACTGTTCACGTACCGACAGCAAATCTGACTCGAGGTTCCTCAGCCAGCAAAAGCTTCAGGCAGCGACTGGTCACAGCGTTGCCAAAACCCTCGTCACAACGAGAAGCCTCGACGATAACTTTGCACCCATTCAGTCCGCCGAGATTCTGCTCCCAGCTCAAATCAGCTTCAAGCAATTTCAGTAAATCATCTTGGAGTCCGGTCGCAGCTCCTTCGCCTGCACATGCCTGCAGCAGTTGCGTGAGCTGAGATTCGCCTTTGTCTCGATCCAGACGGATCTTGCTGCACATCAACTGCAGAGCTTCCTCCATAATTCTAGTTTTTCTTCACCAAGAGCAAACTGGCGGCAGGATAATCACACCGAAAACAGTTCTGGTTGATGAACTTCACCTTCGGCTTCGAATCATTGCACAAACATGCACAAGCAGCATTTTCTTTTTCTTCTTTTCTTATGATCTCGCTGACGTAATCAGCGTCGTGCATGAATCATCGATCCGTCATTTTATGATGTCACAAAGTCATTGATTGAAAACAGTTTTCAAATTTTTAATTATCTCGCGTTCTTTGCTTTCTCGAATGTTTTCACTTGCCAGGATCTAGGAGACAGTCGGTAGAGAGTCAGGGGTGACGCCGTACTGTTTGAAGTTAGTTTCCATGCACCTTCCATGTAGTGATATTTCCGTCTCTTGGCTGGACCACGTAGAAGCATGGCAGGGAACGGCGATCAGGCAGACGTCCTTCGTGTTCTGGAGTTTTACAGCGGAGTTGGAGGAATGCATTTTGCAGCAAAAGGTGAATGCACTGTCATACATTGTATTCTTTTAATTATTATTATTATAGAGTACATCTGTATAATTATACATCTAACATGCCTGTAACGTAGCCAGTGGACTAAATAAATACATGTACAGTGTACTTTACTTTAAACAGCATAACGGGCATGTTCGATTGGTAGAATCCGGATCTAGATCAACCGGATCCACAGGATTCGCACCCTTTCGATTGGTCGAATTGAAAACTTCCCATTAATTTTGTTCAGGTAATCGATCAGTGTCCGGATCAAACCAATCCAACATACCCTTAGTTCACTGCCTGGGTTACAGATCTGCTGAAACTGCCACATGCGTTCTGTTTATCCATTGGACGCCCAATTGGCTCTTTCCGTATGCCTGGCCCTGGTAATCCAGCTAGACTGGGCAATGGTAGAGGTTGAAACATTGCTGAGAGGTGTCTCGGCGCTCTCTCTCTCTCTCTCTCTCTCTCTCTCTCTCTCTCTCTCTCTCTCTCTCTCTCTCTCTCTCTCTCTCTCTCTCTCTCTCTCTCTCTCTCTCTCTCTCTCTCTCTCTCTGCAATCTGCGATTGAGTACTCACATGTAAGCAGCGTGTGTATGGATGACGGTGTAGTATTATTAGGTTCCGGTCCACGTATGTGGGCGTGGGTTCGAATCCCACTTCTGACACCATGTACTATTCTCAATATGGACAAGGAGACATGGACGAGTAAACTAATGAGGAGCAAGAAATGCACAACCAGTAGGTGAGTGCAACACAAGAGAAGTCCTGAGCCAGTGAAGCACATCAAAGTTCTGGCCTACGGGAAACGGCCTGTGTGACGTATATTCAGCATGCAACGCATACAGTCATAAGCGTACAGTAGTGTATGCATAACAGAGTCCAGATATTACAACAGACGGTGTGTGGCACCAGCAGTGCGAACGGGTTTTAAAGCCCATGTTTTTATAATAATATTTATGTTTTTTACGACAACATTACCGTCCACCCCTTGCCAGCCAGTGGATTTGCTACCACAGTCGTCAGTGCATTTGACATTAACACGTTGGCCAACTCGGTCTACCAGCATAACTTCTGCAAAACACCGGTTTCCTCCAGGAACATAGAGGTAAGTGGAGCCGAATGCGGTCACTGTGTTTACAATGTCACCACAATCTCTCTCTCTCTCCCTCCCTCCCTCTCTCCCTCTCTCTCTCTCTCTCTCTCTCTCTCTCTCTCTCTCTCTCTCTCTCTCTCTCTCTCTCTCTCTCTCTCTCTCTCTCTCTCTCTCTCTCTCTCTCTCTCTCTCTCTCTCTCTCTTTGGAATTTAGGACCAGTTGAACATGATGCCCAACGGCCACTCTGACGGCTCGGGTATCATTTCCCTGCATGTATTTAATATTATTTTGGTGATTTGATATTGCCAAAACTGGATTTTCTTCCTCTTTGCAAAATCGAATGCCCATAAGAGCAATATTTACGGTTCTCGACCAATATGGCATGCATGCGGTTACCACTTTTGGGAAATCAATGCTTCAGATCACGGAAGATTTCCAAAGGCTTCAGGCTTGTACATCTATATCCTGAAGACACTGTACTTGTATTCTTGTGTGTGCAATCCACCCTACTTACACACAACAGAGCCTGTCAGCGGAAGAATTGGACGCGTTCAAGGCCGACGCGTTCCTCATGTCGCCGCCGTGCCAACCCTATACCAGGTACGGATAGTGTCATGTCAACTACCGTATTGTCAAAAAATCTATGCAGCTCATACTACGACGATCAAATTAACGGTGATAAACAGGGTAGCTGTTTGTACAGTAAAACCAAGAGTAGATAAACAAGAGTGTGCAACTCGCGGATGGGTAGGCCCATGGCGAAATTTTTTGTTGACGTAATCTTTTCGACGACGCACGCGCTGCGAGTCTTTCGGAAAGTTTTCCCTCGTGCTCTTGGCCGGCTTTATAACATATTTACACTACAAGGTCGGTGCCCAGCAAGTGCGCTCACACTGCTCTGCGGCAAAATGCGCGTTCTTCTGAAAAAGGTGACGTCAACAAAAAATTCCGCCGTGGGCGGGGGTATCTGCAGATTATGCAGGAGAGATCCGGAGTTGCACACTCTTGTTTCTCTACTCTTGGTAAAACCTGTCAAGGCGACCACTCGGATAAGGCAACCTGCCCCGGAAGACCACTGTAACCAGGACCAAGGGATGCTATTTCCAGCAAACGACCCTGGATAAGGAGACCACCTGGCAACAGAGACCACATTTTGAAGGTCCCTTGAGCGGTCGTCGTGGACAGGTTTCACTGTACGTGGAACGGAGATGAATGTCGGCGAGGACCTATCAACCCCGATGCATTGATGCCTGTTTACCGTCGTGCTGTGCGTGTATGCTGATTGATCATACAATTATCACATTGTATTGTTGGTGCTCTTCCTCTCCTATGCTGCTGCTGTTACTGCTGCTGCCATGCAGACAAGGCCTGCAAGCTGGCAGCACCGATCCAAGGTCTCAGAGCTTCCTAGCTTTGCTCGATGCCCTACCCAAGTAAGCAGAGAGAACATTACCGCGCTGCTTTCTTTAATTTTGCGTCTCCAGTGTTATCATTTAAAAATATTTAACCCGGACACTGAGCCAGTAAGAAATGTAAAATATGCTTTAATATTAGACAAAGTGTCTATAATGCTTATTATTGTTTTGCTTATTATCTTGTTGCAGTCGTGGATAGTTGCTCCATGACTCGTTCCCATGTGTGTTTCTTCTATTTTACATTTGTTTAATGTTTGCTTGTTGTCATGTGACCTGCTGTTCATTGCAAACATCATGTTCAGCGTATTCTTGTTCAATTGTTTCTTCTTGCACCAGGCTCAAACACCCGCCACGTTTCCTACTGATCGAGAACGTGAAAGGCTTTGACACATCTGAGACCAGGTATGTGTGCTTGGTTTCTCCGCGTGCCCCGCTGAAAGGTGGCTGGGTAGATTTTCTTTATCGACACTGCCTGTGAAAAGATCGCTGATTGCTTTCCAGCGTATGTCGCATAATGTGGCAATCATGTCTATCATACAGTCTTCAGTGAAGCCTTGAAGGATCAGATGTTCTTGTAGACCATACCGCCGCCAAACAGACTGAGCGATTACAGATGCTCAATAGTTTGAGGGAAAGTTGCATTACAGATTACAGATACTGGTATTTTTTAACGCGATTTGTTGAATTTTGCACTTACAATTTACACCGGGAATGTTCTTTTAGTCACTTATTCGGACAGACCAACGTCTGGGTAAGGAATGCTGATGGTCCATGCATCAGTGCGATTACTCGGGGCAGTGCTGTTTGGGCGCAGGTATGGAACTGTTGACACGGCATATTAACCGCTGGTGTCTCACCTTTCGTTGCTGTTCTTTCCCAATGCCTCGCGTAGGGACGAGACGATTCGAATCCTGGAGTCCTGTGCATACAACGTCGAGGAATACCTGCTATCGCCCATTCAGGTAAGGAACAGGAGTTTACTGGCATGGATCCGGAAGAAAGTCTCTTGAAATGGCAATATAAATGCAGGATGTTATGCAACTTGCTGTAGTTGTAGTGAAGAAATCAGCTGTAGAAACCATTCGTAGTTGCCGACGGAACGAGTATGACACAAGGGTGCCGAACAACCCTTAGCAAGAAAGCATGTGGTGGTGGTGGTGGTGTGCGAGTGTGTGCGTGTATGTGCATGTATGTGTGTGTACATGTGTGTGTACATGTGTGTGTACATGTGTGTGTGTGTGTGTGTGGTGTAATCCCAGCGCAAGTTGCTATGTCTAACATAGCTGTTCGCTATCATCGCTTCCGCGATGGGCATGTCTGAGTCTGAGTGTGTGTGTGTGTGTGTGTGTGTGTGTGTGTGTGTGTGTGTTTCAAATCACTATTCTCACGATGGTGTTGTTGTTGTTGTTGTTGTTGTTGTTGTTGTTGTTGTTGTCACCGTCACTGTCATCGTTGTCGCCGCTGTACAGTGCGGAGTACCCAACTCTAGACTGCGCTACTATCTTCTAGCAAGCCGCAACGTGACCAGTGATAGCAGCAATAGCTGTGATGCACCCAGGCGTGCAGCGTGGCCTCCTGTTCATGTAAGCAGCAGGCTATCCTGTCAACGTATACCAATACACTATTCTACAGTATGCAGTAAAACCTGTCAAGGGGGACCACTCGGATAAACATTTGATTTGGTTGTGGAACTGATGCTTGTGCCTGCTTGTATGTGTGTGTGTGTGTGTGTGTGTGTGTGTGTGTGTGTGTGTGTGTGTGTGTGTGTGTGTGTGTGTGTGTGTGTGTGTGTGTGTGTGTGTGTGTGTGTGTGTGTGTGTGTGTGTGTGTGTGTGTGTGTGTGTGTTTGTATGTATTCTCTGGTGTGCATAGACAATACGCAGTGAGCTGCCACCGCTACGGAGCGTGCCGATGACGTCACCTCTGCTACGAGAGGCATGGCTGTCGACTGCAGGCAATGGCGCAGCACAATCCGGCGGTGATCCCGGAGCTTCGCATACACCACCTGCCATCAGCACAGCTGCAGCCGCAACTACATCATCCATACCTACACCTGTGTCCACCAAAGCTGATTGTGCAAGGAGAGGCACTCTTCAGGATGGCTCAACCGCGGCATGCGCATCTCCATCCTCTCCTGATGAACCCGACGCGAAACGACCGTGCCAAGCTGAACAATCTTGTTCCCGGGGAGCAGCCATGAAGAATACGGCCACATCTGGAAGTGCCTCAAGCTGGTGTGAGTGTGGAAGTCAATTTGCTCCCGAAGCACCTGTTCTGGCGAGGGTGAGATCTGTGCAAGACTTCTTAGAACATGGTATGGCGGAAGGCGAGATCAAGAAGCTACTACTGCCGGATAGCACGCTGTCGCAGTATCGCAAAGTTCTCGGTAGGCCTTCTGTGTGTTCTCCTGGTCTTGTGTGTATGTGTGGCCATGAGAATGTGTGGCCATGAGAATGTGTGGCCATGAGAATGGTGTGTGAGGGTATGTGTGGGCATGATAATGGTGTGTGTGTGTGTGTGTGTGTGTGTGTGTGTGTGTGTGTGTTTGTGTGTGTGTGTGTGTGAATCCCTACTTTTCATTTGGCTGTGTGGTGGATACCAGGCTAAAATTAGTGGCGGTCAATTCATCAGCCTTGCAAGCTGTTGAGTAGTGTAATCCCAGCACAAGTTGCTATGTCTAACATAGCTGTTCGCTATCATCGCTTCTGCGGTGGGCAGGTCTGAGGTCTGAGGTGTGTATGCGTGTGTGTGTGTGTGTGTGTGTGTGTGTGTGTGTGTATGTGTGTGTGTGTATGTGTGTGTGTGTGGGCATGAGAATGGTGTATGTATGTGTATGTGTGGGCATGGGAATCTTGTGGGTATGCGCGGGCATGGGAATGGTAAAAGTGTGGATAGGGTACTAGTAAAGGTCGCACTCACATGGATGAAAGCATGTCTGATCTGCTGGGGCTTGCAGTGAGCACTCATGGGTATGTCAATCCTTCTTGTTTGCGAAATAGTGAGATAGAATCAAGAGTGCATGTGTCTCCGACTAGACTGTGCATCTGGCAATGGGTAGCTGTCATGACTCACTGTTTGGTCTCACGTGCTTCTAAATAGTCTGCACTTGTGGCTGCCTGTGTTTGCTCAAGCCAGTGTCAGGGGGTTTAGCTCAGTGGTAGAGCGCTCGCTTCGCATGTGAGAGGCCGCGGGTTCAAATCCCGCATTCTCCATACTTTTTGCTTATTTTTTTCTCAGTTCTTTTTTCTTGTCATAATGCTCGGGATGCGTTTGTGTTTTGGCTACTTGGTAGAGCATAGAGTACACTGTAGGTCGGATTTCAGAGGGGGAAAGATACTGTAGATATATGGGAGTGCACGAATGCATAACCTGCTCTGTTTAGTATGCCTAATAAGTATCCATTTACTTTTGGAGAATCCTTCAAATGAAGTCTGAATGAATGGGCGCTTTCGATTACAAAACCACACATTCTATACCCAGGTTTCGAATGAACAGAATGAACGGATTGCGGCCATGTAAACGAACGACTACACGTAAAAATCGTAAAAGGGGATCACGTGGGATCACGTACACCCTGGCGCGCAGCCGCGCACGTGGACCTAGCATGGCGTGTACGTCGAGTGCGTCCATTCTGGCGGGAGAATTAGCACAATTCCACCCTCTCTTCGGAATTGACGGAATTGGATTCTGTTGATTCTGACGACGGAATTTGTGTAATCGAACTGTGCATCCACCATAACTAATTCTAGAATTGACCGAAATGCGTGTAATCGAATGCCCCCAGTGAATGAGTAGATCACTATTGCTTATTCCTCATAGGTTTCAGTCATCCCATCTTTGCAACACTTACAGTACAATGTGCCATGTTGTTTTGTTGAAAACAGCTCCAATTCCATAGATACACACACATCCCACGCCTGCATCAACTTCTGCCAGCCTCAAACCTGCTGTACCCGGCAGAGGAAAGTAGAATCGACCATGTTGGGTAGAAGAATAGGGCACACATCTCGGATAGCGGCAGCTTTTGCCTCCAATGGTGCACGATGGGGAATCCGCACTGCCGACTTGGTAGCCTGGTCCAGCCAAATGCTCTCCAGCAATAGAGCCACCAATGACAATCCAAACCTTCTTGTAATCAATTTGTTTACCAGATCAACCATCAGGGGGTTTAGCTCAGTGGTAGAGCGCTCGCTTCGCATGTGAGAGGCCGTGGGTTCAAATCCCACATCCTCCAGATTTTTGCGTTTTTTCTTTTTTTTTGAAAATTTGTTTTCACTTCGATCACCACAAGTCAATTCACGGTATGCTGCAGTATATCCAAACGTATACCGTATTTCCCCGCGTATAAGGCTGCGTTTACACGACAACGCATGGCCAGTTTTCCGTTTTCAGTCCCGCATTTCTTTTTTTCGTTTTCGTCCGTTTACATGATCAAAGCTGATCCGAAGTGGTCTCCGTTTGTGTTTTCGCGCATCTACACGGGAGCAAAGTTTGTCATGTGCAAGTGTTGTCGTGGAAGCACCAATCACGCTCAAGTATTAGTTGAAAACAAGCCACACAATAACACTCATCACATGACGAAAATTGTAAAAACAATTTTTATGATTGTCGGATCCGTGTGAACGGTCGAAAACGAAACAAACGCGACGGAAAACGAGGCCAGCACACCGTCTCGACTGTTTACACACCCAAATTTATCTAGCAGAACATTTCCGTTTTCAAATTCTTCCACCTTGGCCAGCGTTTTAGCTTTCTTCTGTTTTGGTGTACAACTTTTACGTTTTGCTCCGCGTACCGTGTAAATGAATCGTGCATCCGAAAGGATTTTGTTGCGTTTTCACTCCCAGCGTTGTCGTTTAAACGCAGCCTAAGTCGTACCCCCATTGCCAGGTCTGAATGTATTCACATAACGGAGCGCCTCGTAAGGGGCCGTCCATAATTATCGATCTTTTACACGAAAAGAAAAAAAAGTTTCGTTTATGGGTCCGGGTGGGTGGGTCAAGGAGAGTTTCGTTTTGAAAAATATTGATATGTGAGACATCAATGCATTCTAGCTGTCAAGTCAATCTATTTTTCGTTCAGGGGGGGGGGGGGGGGGTGAGGTTCCTACGCTGTACTACTATCCTGTACCCGGGGAAAATCGCGATTCCGCGGCCGCGTTTTTTTCCCGCGTTTTTTTCGATTTTTTAAAAGACCGCGTTTTCCGCAATTTTCCCGCGTATTTTGAACTTTTTTGTTGCACGACACGTACACACAATGCACTGTTCGGTCCGCAATGTCTCATCGTGGCGGCTTTGTACTCAAATATGACGAGTGCTTACACCAGAGACTTGTAAGTTGTAACTGATTGATTTCACTACATACTCACTGAAAATTGCCTCATATCAACTGCAAACTTGCCGCATATCAATAATATTCACCGCATATTTACCGCAAATTCACCGCAAATTATGCCATATTATGCCGCGTTTTCCCCCGCGTTTTTTGCAATTTTTTTCCGCGATTTTCCCCGGGGACAGACTATCTGCACACACACACGTACACGCGTAGTCATTTGCCTGAACCACACAGCACGTTCGCATCGAAAGCATGTGCGAACTGTCGTTTTCTTATCGAAAAGAGCGCTAAGTTACTAGGTGAAACAAGTGCCAAAATGAAGAACTCAAGTGCTCTTTGAAAAAGCGAGCGAGTGTTTCATTGAGCAGAAAATGAAATATGCGTATGTTGTACAGTGAAGTACAGTGAAATCTGTCTAAGACGACCGCTCAAGGGACCTTCAATGTGTGGTCTCTGTTACCAGGTGGTCTCCTTATCCAGGGTCGTTTGACTGGAAATAGCATCCCTTGGTCCTGATTACAGTGGTCTTCTGGGGCAGGTGGTCGCGTTATCCGACTGGTCGCCTTCACAGTGTACAGTAAAACCTGCCCTAACCGGACGCCCTTAGACTTAGTGCAGCGGCAGCTGTCCTGATGTGACAGTATTCCGCTTGATCCCAGGGTGCAAGTTGGATCCACGGCACGTCGGTGCATGAAAATTTGTCCAGTTACTACAGGATTCCGCTTGGTACAGGGTCCGACAAACAGTACACAGGTTTTCGCTGTACCCGGTATCAAGAGTACACAAGCCAGAGTGTGCGACTCTCCTCCCCCCTCCCCCTTTTCAAGACAGAGAAATAATTACTTCAAATTAGGCACCTTTGATGTACACTGCACTGATATCATAGGCTGTATTGATACAGTGCATTCCCGGATCGCGGGTCCCATGGCTCATTGAAAATGTCCTTAACGATGAATTCTGCTTTCCTAAATTCGTGTCAAGTTGCATACTCTTGTTTATGTACTCTCGGTGATATTAATTATTATAAAGCTTTCTTCATGTCCGGCTTTGCTTTCACGTGTTGTCAGTACCTCCTGTAACCAATGTATTTGCTAAAAACATCATCCGGGGGTTTAGCTCAGTGGTAGAGCGCTCGCTTCGCATGTGAGAGGCCGCGGGTTCAAATCCCGCAACCTCCACACTTTTTGTTTGCTTCCCTTTCAGTTCCTTTTTCTTTTTTCTGAGAATTCTCTTTTTGAGAACCAAATGTGTTTTTGGCAAACCGCTCCAACTAAAATCCTTGCTACTATTCACTCTGGACGTCTTCAACGTTTCGGTCCTAGACCATCTTCGGGAACAATTGTGCAAATTCGAGTTGCGGTGGTTTTCCCAGAACACGCTTGGTTCTGATGTGCAGCTGCAACAAGCATCTGAGCGCATCTTGATACTCGTTTGTTTTGCTTTTAGACGTTGTCAGTCCTTCCTGTAACCACTCTTGCTGCTTTACGAAAAAGTAAGTGAACACCTGAAGGGGTCATTACGTTGTATTTATTCATCATGGCATCTTGTCAGTCCGGATAGCTGGATTTATGTACTATTGTTTGTGCTGGCGTATATAGTGCACGCGTTGGGTGCACTATTTTAGGCTACTCTTTGCAACCCCGTTCTACACACTCTCGTTTGGTGCAACCTTGAGCTGTTGAGGATTTCTCCGCCATGCTTTTGTATGAGAGTAGAATAAATACCGTGCGTCGGATGGCTCATGTGCTCTGCACTCCAGCTACACTGTGGCCCCAGAGAGCAGCTTGTTGCAAGTGGCATGCATACTTTGCTTTGTGTCTGCTTTCAGCTATGGCCGCTATCTGCGCGGAACCGGCTCAGTCTTGAATTGTGCCCGACCGGTATGTTTAGCACTTTCCTTTATTTATTTATTTATTTATTTTCGTTTGTGTCTTTCCCTCAAACTAGTCAAGATTTATTTAGTTATTTAGTTATTTGGGGGGGGGGGGGGTAACATATTTTTCATCAACCACCACACCACAACTGCGCTCTCCAGACCACCTCGACACGTTGCCACAGCACACCGCCCAGAAAGCAAAGCAGGGGTAACGTGTAAAACTATTTCGCTGGAGAGTGCTCAGTTCACGTCTTTGCCACGTGACTGCTTTTGTGTAGAAAGCGTACCTGGCATGTGGAGGAGTAGAACCAACATGGCTGCCATTGTGTGACCCATAGATGCAGGCCTGCAGGGATTGACTGGAGTTGAAACCAACATGGCTGCCATTGTGTGACCCATAGTTGCAGGCCTGCAGGGATTGACTGGAGTTGAAACCAACATGGCTGCCATTGTGTGACCCATAGATGCAGGCCTGCAGGGATTGACTGGAGTTGAAACCAACATGGCTGCCATTGTGTGACCCATAGATGCAGGCCTGCAGGGATTGACTGGAGTTGAAACCAACATGGCTGCCATTGTGTGACCCATAGATGCAGGCCTGCAGGGATTGACTGGCGTTGAAATCAACATGGCTGCCATTGTGTGATCCATAGATGCAGGCCTGCAGGGATTGACTGGCGTTGAAATCAACATGGCTGCCATTGTGTGATCCATAGATGCAGGCCTGCAGGGATTGACTGGCGTTGAAATCAACATGGCTGCCATTGTGTGACCCATAGATGCAGGCCTGCAGGGATTGACTGGAGTTGAAACCAACATGGCTGCCATTGTGTGACCCATAGATGCAGGCCTGCAGGGATTGACTGGAGTTGAAACCAATGATGGCTGCCATTGTGTGACCCATAGATGCAGGCCTGCAGGGATTGACTGGAGTTGAAACCAACATGGCTGCCATTGTGTGACCCATAGATGCAGGCCTGCAGGGATTGACTGGCGTTGAAATCAACATGGCTGCCATTGTGTGATCCATAGATGCAGGCCTGCAGGGATTGACTGGCGTTGAAATCAACATGGCTGCCATTGTGTGATCCATAGATGCAGGCCTGCAGGGATTGACTGGAGTTGAAACCAACATGGCTGCCATTGTGTGACCCATAGATGCAGGCCTGCAGGGATTGACTGGAGTTGAAACCAACATGGCTGCCATTGTGTGACCCATAGATGCAGGCCTGCAGGGATTGACTGGAGTTGAAACCAACATGGCTGCCATTGTGTGACCCATAGATGCAGGCCTGCAGGGATTGACTGGCGTTGAAATCAACATGGCTGCCATTGTGTGATCCATAGATGCAGGCCTGCAGGGATTGACTGGCGTTGAAATCAACATGGCTGCCATTGTGTGATCCATAGATGCAGGCCTGCAGGGATTGACTGGCGTTGAAATCAACATGACTGCCATTGTGTGATCCATAGATGCAGGCCTGCAGGGATTGACTGGCGTTGAAATCAACATGGCTGCCATTGTGTGACCCATAGATGCAGGCCTGCAGGGATTGACTGGAGTTGAAACCAACATGGCTGCCATTGTGTGACCCATAGATGCAGGCCTGCAGGGATTGACTGGAGTTGAAGCCAACATGGCTGCCATTGTGTGACCCATAGATGCAGGACTGCAGGGATTGACTGGAGTTGATAACATGGCTGCCATTGTGTGACCCATAGATGCAGGACTGCAGGGGATTAACTGGAGTTGAAATCAACATGGCTGCCATTGTGTGACCCATAGATGCAGGACTGCAGGGGATTGACTGGCGTTGAAATCAACATGGCTGCCTGTATGGTCATGTAGTGGATAGTATGCAACAGCTCAATAACTTGCAGGCTTAGGAAGTGTGAATACGGGCATGTACATGTGTATTCTGTAGGTTTGTGTGAGGGGAGGGGTATGTAATAATGTTGTTTGAAACAGGGCTGGCAGGGTATCATCCTGGGTCCATTCTCCTTGCAGCCAGTAAGAGTGGAATAGGTACAAGTAGCTCCAAAAAGTTTAAAAATGCTCCTTGGTTTTTTTAGTATAGCCCACAATGGTTGCTCTTTTCTCTGCTTGTTGTTTTTTTTTTACCCTGCGGCAGGTTTCAGTGTCACCCGTGGATTCAAATTCAACGTCACCACGACCACATCAAGCTGAAGAGAATCTTCGCTACTTCTCGCCGCAGGAGGTGTCGAACTTAATGTGTTTTCCCGCATCTTTCGGTGAGTACATGCGCCTAGTGCCAGACCTACTCACTTCCGTATGGAAGAGGCAGGCCCCGGAGCCAGCTCCCGGGGAGTGGTACGGCCCCAGGTCGGCTGCAGGGCAGATAATTTCCGCATGCCCTATTTCAGTGTCATGGAAGGATTCATCTCTAGCTAGCTTTGTGCGGCATCACATCTGGCTGTTCCAGCTACACATATCGCTAGCAACAGATACAGTGTATTGTATGTGCATGTATACAGTCAGTAGTAACTTAGTACAGCAGTCAATGGATACAATGTAATGTGCATGTATACAGTTACTGTAAATATACTCAATCTGCGGACAGAACTGTTTCGTCCTTTGTGGACTAGTCAGCGCAGCACAGAGGAAATGAGGCCGAACCTGATAGCAATGGAAATAAAAATTTCCAATCAGGCCCGAACGTACCTTGCCAGAGTGCTCAAACTGACAAGTCAGTGAGCTCTGCATTACGCAAACAGCAAAGGCACTACCCCACGCAAGAGTGCTCAACTGCTACAAGAGCAGGAGCGAAATACTCAATCTGCGGACAGAACTGTTTCGTCCTTTGTGGACTCGTCAGCGCAGCACAGAGGAAATGAGGCCGAACCTGATAGCAATGGAAATAAAAATTTCCAATCAGGCCCGAACGTACCTTGCCAGAGTGCTCAAACTGACAAGTCAGTGAGCTCTGCATTACGCAAACAGCAAAGGCACTACCCCACGCAAGAGTGCTCAACTGCTACAAGAGCAGGAGCGAAATACTCAATCTGCGGACAGAACTGTTTCGTCCTTTGTGGACTCGTCAGCGCAGCACAGAGGAAATGTTACTGTAAATATACAAATTTTCGGCAGCTATTTAATTTCGGCTATATTCGGCACCGACACAAAACGCCTAAATTAAAACGCCGATGAAATTTTTCACAGCATCTGTCGCACTATACCATGCCCTCTACCCCACGCCGAAAATAAATCGCCGCCGAAATGTGAAAAATCGTGAAGTGCCGAAATTTTGTATTTGCAGTAGTAGTTAGTGCAGTAGCCCTTACAGGACATGATAAACAGTTTATGGCTATATGGGTCAGAGACTAGCGAGGATAGCCTATTTGTACCTCCACACAATTGATCATACACTGGACATCTGTGAAATCTGGAATTGGTGGAAACTGGTACGGCCAACGGCCATGGCCGTACCAGCCGTACCAATGGCGCCTGCCCTGAGAGGGCAGTGATTAGATCTAGACTTTCCAACTTTCTCGAACGTATGGACATTACTGGGAATTCTTACTTATTTTGCCATGCTTGGCTCTTGTTGATGCTGCAGCTTTCCCTGATGAGGTGACGACCAAGCAGCGCTATCGCTGCCTGGGCAACAGTCTGAATGTTTTGGTCGTGGCGTGGTTGCTGCAGTATTTGTTTGATGGGAGTCTGGTGGCCGCCTAAGCTGCTGGCCTGTGCTCTTGCCATTGGAGCAGCCGCGATCTGGCGTTTCTTTGCACGGCCAACTTGAGCTTGAGCGATGATCAGTGACGGATGGTGCAGAGCATCCTTATTAGCCGACCGGGCCATGTGCGAGCAGATGGGCAGTCAAGGTGTCAGGAGTCGTAGCTGTCGCTGCTACTTCTACATGCACATTCTAGCTAAACGTGGGCGCTCCCGGTGAAAGAGACCTGACGGATATTTCTGCCCTACATGTGCGGTGTAACTGGCAACTTCGAAAAATTCCAAAAGCAGGTGCTTCTCTTCTGCAGTGGTCGGCTGGCCAGTGTGGCAAGGGTGAGCTCTTCAGCTCTGCAAACACGCGCCTGTCATTGCTTAGCTCCTACCTCAACTTCTTTCTCTCTCGTGGGAGAGTCTCGTATAGCTCTTGGCCATCAATGGTGTGACTCCCTGGGCCGGGGGCCTGCGAACACCCCGCCATACTCCTGGTGTCCTGCGGTTTTATTTATTTTTCTATCATTTGTACATAGTTGTAACTTGTGCGTCCGTCCAGTACTCTGGCAACCATCAAGAAAAGAATAGCGTACAACCTGTGGTCATAGATTTTAACAGCATGATTGCTGATCAATAATAATTATTGAGGATCTTTTGCCAAAGAGGATAACCTGATAACTGAATGATCGCAACATATTTTGATTCTTGAACTTCACGCAGTCAACAATATCATACCGATCATGCCCCGATGGTACGCGTGCTTATACTAAGTCTTAGTTATCAAATGAAACAAACGAAGAAGAAAAAAAGGTCTCATTTTACTGTTGGTTGTCGGCATGAACAGAGTTCACCTCCAGGCGAGAATGTTTCTTGTCAACGGTGTATCACATGTCGTGGTCGTTGTCTCTTCGCCAGTTTTAAAAGTCTCTACCAACCACATCACAGGGGTTTGAGGGTTATACTCTTGATACGTACCGTATGTATGTACATATCGTATGTATGTGAGTGTATCATTTAAAAAAGAGTACATAACTAAATGGTTAAAACTTCATAAGCTTCCTTATTTTTTTTAGTCTTGGTATCATCAAGAGTAAAATAAGCTGTCATTGGAGAACACAGCACTACAACCTGTAGTACATGAGCGTCGCAACCGGTGCGTAGGCCTTTGCGGATAATGCCGGCAGAACATTTGGCAGAATTCGGTACTTTTTCTGGTAAGTTTCATGCATGTTTGGTATGTGGATAAAGAAATGGAGCAGAATTCGAGGAATTGCCCGCCATAAGGTTTGTATGGTTCTGCCAATCAAGTTCACTGCTTTTCGAGCAGAATCTGCCACCTTTTCGAGCATTATCCGCCAATGCCTACCGGTGCGGCAGGTCCCGCCAAAGCCGCACCGATAATTTCATGTTATTTGCGCCCAATTTTCCGGGGGGGGGGGGGGGGAGAGAGACCCTCGGACCCCACCTACTCATGCGGCCGCACCCGAATGTCGAATACCTTCCGACGCCTCTGTAGTAACTGTTGCCACTACATGTACTTGTGGTGTGCCACTGGAACTACACCCACTTTTTGTCAGTCCTAGCCTCGGAATTCTTGAATCCCTATGGTGAACTACAAGTCGTGTACATAATCATTGTTGCAATGCTCTGTATCCATTTTCATCAGTCCGACTCAAATCCCTAGGCCTATGGACGGTGAACTACTGCAGTACTGGTACATCACCGTATTTCAAAGTTGATGTTCATGAGAATATTCCACGGCACCACCATTTATCCTTGGCGAAGTCGCTACCAAGCCCCTCCTCCCCCCCCCCCCCCCCACACACACACTATTCGTACTTCATGAGGTCGACCGGAGAAACCCATTCGTGTCGTTCCTCTCGTGGATTGTACGTAGATCTACGTAGGTACGTGTCATCAGCTGGCCATAATCATGGAATTATTCTAAAATGGCAAAGAATATACTTGTGACAAAATTACTCAAATCGTACCCAAATCGGAAAATAAAACCAGATTTAAAATTTCTGGTATTTTGGAGCATTTTGCACAAAAACACACTGTCTCAGCATTTTGCCTCTACTGTTGTATGGTTCCGACTGAATGTTATAGTTTTCTTTTCAGGTATCTGAGTGGTGATTTCTGCAGTCAAGCAAAGCCAAATAGAGTGGCTGGGCTTTCTTTTCAGGGTTCTTGGCTGCCCATACTAACAATTTCATTCGGTTCGGAACGCAAATATCGGTACTCCGCGGGATGCTTCCTGAAATTGGTCCGATAGATTTTCTTCATTTCTTCAAGAGGTACAGCCAGCTATGTGGTTTATACGCTAAACATTAGATATTCGATATTGAATCAATGTGAAGTACCTAGGAGCACGGTTTACTGAATCCAATATTGGCTGACGTGTGCGGTGGACCAAAACATTACAGTCAAACATAATGGCCGTATAGATTTCATTCAAATTTTGCAGAGGTATACTCAGATAGTAATGGGAAGAGTATGCAAAGTAAGTTATAGCCCCCTGCAGTTACCAGAAGCATACATTGTCTAGTACTATCAATTATTATTTGTCGATTTGGGCCCAAAAAAATTTACCGGGTAAATTTACGTATTACTGCCATCAAGTAAATTGAAACTGCTCTATGGATTCCCTTTAAATTTGGTAAAGATGTTCCTTTGATTGATGAAAAGGTGTCTGCCAAGTTTCATGTTTCTGTTGCCACCAGAACATACCTTTCGAGTCGATTATAGGAGCTATTTTGTCAAAACCACTACCGAAAAAGAAGAAAAAAAGTATTTACCGGAGAGGTTCGAACCCGCGAGGGGCAAAAATTAATAATATTTCATCATATTTCTACTCCAAACCTGCGCAGAACGTTTTCGTTTTATTCTAAAATCAAAATAATTAATTCTAAATTATTTTGAAATGTTGCTTCGATCACACGGTGACTTCATGTGCACCATCTAATGACATGGCGTCCTTTCATGCGGTTTACCGCACGGATTTATGAAGTCAGACATATTCCGATTTATTTGCATCAATCGCACAAAATTAGGTACATTTCTCTTGTAAACCCTGTCAGTTTGAGAATTTAGACAAACACCGAACAAATTTTAGCCGCGACGAGGATCGGGAGGAATCCATCATTATTATTTACATAGCTACTACCATCACGTCGACCGAGTGAAGATCGAAATGATAATGGAGTGGAGAGAAGAAGACCTGAACTAGAGTGCTTGAGAGACTATGTAGTGTCACATGAGAATTGCTTCGTTAGGAAGGCTCTACTTTTGAATGGAGAAGCCCAACGTCGCTGATTTGCATCGCCGTTTTCAAGCGCTGATCTGCAGTCGGAATGTTTTTGTAAATTATTCGTAGTTGTGGACGTGGATGGATTCAGCGCTCTGTTCTCTCAGCAAGCCTACTCAGTCCAACACGAAGGACTTCCATGAGCGAAACAACGTGCTCCTCGAGCAAGTGCAGCTCGGGGTAATATGGCCAATGCCACGGGAGACCACCTCGTGCCTGCATAAGGCCAAGAATTGATGGCAAGACATCTTTGATGAGCGCCTTCGACTTCAAGGACGCAATATATCTCCTCAGCAGTAACTGCAGCGCTCTTGCTGAAAATATCACTGCAAGCATGCACTAGGCATGATTTAGTGAAGAGCTACTTGTACTAGCGATTGGAGATTTGGTGTTGGATTCCAGGGCTGGGCATATCTGCTCCATCATGGTAACTGGTGCGTTTGTCAAGGCAGTGCAGTTTCTGCTGCTGTTTCACAAGCCATATGCGCATATGCGCAGTGAGTAGGAATTTGTTGTATGATAGCTGAGGATCACCAGCCTTCATGGACAAACCTATATTGGGACTGGTTGCTGAACAGTGCACACCTAAATCTCTCAGCAAGCTCTCTTGCTCAGCTGGTGACGAACACTATATACCCGCTGCTTTGGGCTTGCAGCCCCGTCTCCCGACCGTAGACCGATCGAAAGGCTGTCACGGTCCTGTGACCATCGGCGTACAGTTGACGCTGATGGGGCATCGGATAAAGTGCTGGCGTCAGTAATTGTCTGGTATACCTGGAATCTACATCTACAGCTGGTTTTGACTTCCAGCCATCCTTCGTTAGTTATGCTTGTGACTATCATGCCAGCAAGTCGATCAGCAGCATCACCTCGCATCTTTGATGGTGAGGCCTGCAAAACGTCACCGACCAGTGACGATGCTCAAAAGGGCACCCTACCAGAGTTGGCGCAGTGTATGGTGCAGTCTTTCATGAATCCATGAACTATGCTGTTTGGCTGCTATAGCTCTGACGCTTGTGTGTGTGCCTTACATTAAGGGCAGCGGGCCGTCTGCTCTAGCCATTTGCCAATGCATGCACGGCTGAACGTCTACCAGCAAGCTGCAAACACTTCTCTCCCTACCACACTGTGACATAGTGGACATTGTGCGTGTGTTGTTGCATTCCTATCTGAACTGAACTGTTCTGGATGCAGAGATTTACCCACTAAGCCCTAGAGAAATATGAATAAATACTATACTACTACTATTACTAAACTTGGTATGCGGGTGTGACGCGCTGCTGCTCATCAGATTCGGTCCATGCGACGCTCGTGTTTTTAGTTTTGTTATTTTGTCTGCCTTTTTTGAATTCGTAAACCGAACAGACTAAACTATCCAGTGATCAGGTACTGGTGTGGTGGGGCGAGGTTTTGTTGGTGATGCTGCTGTCAGTGGTGGCGGCGTGCATGTGCTCGTGCTTGCGGGCGATGGCCCGCGTTTTCTCCCATGCCGCAAGTTTGTCTTGCGTTTGTGTTCTGCATTTGGACTTCCTGCCAGGCTTGGGCTTGCATTTCAAACAGTTTGTCCCACTGTGTGGCTCCCAGTCTTTGAGCGGTGTACATCCACCTCTAGAGCTCCAGAGAATGTTGGGCCCCTGGCAGTAACAGTGCATTCCATGGCCAATTTTCAAGTGTGGCAAAAAATGTTCAGGGTGTATTTGGTTTCATCCACATTGAGATGAAACACTGCCAAAATGGATTCAGTATGATCTGCCACACGATACTTCGTCTGTCCACTCCTTGACGCGAATTTCTCCCCTCCAATACGACAACACGACGACAGGAAGCTAACATGAGCCTCCATTTCTGAACAAAATTACGTCTCTAACATGGCCACGAAAAGCTACAGTTATGCACGTCAAGCTTAGGACTACACGAAATCGAAAGGCTAGGACATCGAGGTATACTAGAAAATTGTCTGCGAGGCGGAGAAAATTCGCTGACGAGGTTGGCGAGCCCTTGAAATCGAGCGACGATCCAAAAATAATTGCACCCACGTCGAGAAAGAAACCATGCGTACGCGCGTAGCGCGTGGGTAACCCAAGAAGATCGCTCGAGCGGCGGCACAGTCGAAGGCAAGGCCAGTCCAAGCTCTAAACTCTATCGAATGACCTGGCAAACACCCGTGGTTTCGGTTGACCTTGCCCGTTTGAGATGGAAGTCGAGCGAAATTGCAAACATACGACTAGGCCAGATCGCGTAAAAAATGAAAAAGATTAAAATTTGGCCGCCATATTTAATGAACGCGCATCGCATGCATGGGACAGCCGTGATCATCTCATTGCCAGTGCAGTGCAGTGCTAGTGGCAGTCATGGCAGTGCCACTCCTTCACCTTGCCCTTTACTTGGTCCACTTGGATTTCCGCCATGACAACGATGGTATTGGTGAATCCCCTGTAGATTAGTTGCTTCGGACTGGTTGATCTTCCTTGATTACTGTCAGCCTTCTAAAAATTAATGAAGTAGCCTGTATGTACTCATTGATTGATTTATATATTTTTTAAGGATTGTCAGATCTACTAGGCTGTAGGCCATGGCCCTGTATTGGGCTTCTTGCGATACTTTTCTTGAAGACTTAGCAAAATGTCGACTGGAGAAGGATGGAGTCAACGAGCCAGAGCACGATATTGCGCTGGATATCTGCATCTCCAGTGTGCCACTGTCAGAGAACGTTGCGACCTGCAACACGGAGATCTTGCTTTTCTTACAAAAGCTGGTGACCAATGGAAATTCAGAACTGATAGAGCAAATTCTGAGCTCTCTGAAGGACCTGGCGAGCAGTAGCGGTAGTTCAACGTCCGGAGCAGAGCAGTCTGTTTGCTCTGTTTGTCCTGATAGGAATGAGCTGCCTTATAAGAGATTGAGTATATCTGCCAAAGTGGGCATTCGTGAGCTGCAGCAAAATGCTACTACTCTGACGACGCAGGAAACGGCTGGGCGCGTGGTTCATTTGCACACAGAGCCGTTGCTGCGTGCTGAGAAACCGCCTCTGTCACAAGATGGTGCACTCCAGCCCGTATACGTTCTACCGGATATCCGAGAGCTTGTGAACACGGAGCATGCCGTGGAGGCCAAGTGCCAGCATGCAACATTGCTGTTCTGGGCCTGTTTGGCGGGCCATGTGGATGTGGTGGAATGCCTGTTGAGGTGGGGAGCAGATGTCAATCAGCGCGTACCATGCATGGTATCTAAGGAACACTCGAATTTTTTCAAGTGTTGGAGCTTCACTCCGATTTGTGTTGCAGCGCTCCTGAATCATGTCGAAATTGTCAGGTGCCTTATTACCAGCGGTGCAACACCCTTTGATGGTCCGCATGGAGTCCGCCTTGACAATGATGATGTTGATGAATCCCCTGGTGTAATAATGGAGGGCTGCCGGAAGGAGACCGACACCTGGGAGGCATTGTGGGGCAACCCCCGGTACGCTCCGCCAATGTTGGAGCTGTGGGTCATGGCAATGGAAGGGGAGAAAAGTATGGAGCGCGCGCTGCCCTACTGTCGCTGGGATGCTAGCTGCAACTCGGGCGATTTTGCAGAGTATCTGTGTGTGTTACCGGCATACAGAAGAGCTATGCTGAACATGCCATGCTTCACAGATGCGGAGCGAACTTGCAAGAGATTTTGCTGCTCGTTGGCCCTGCACAATTTGTGCATCTATCACTATTCATCCAAGAACCTAGCCAATACTAAAACGAGTGATATTGTGGACGTGGCTCAAAGTCTTTTACAGGTCGGTACAGAACCTGCTGGTATGTGTAGCGCTGATGCTGAAGCACTGTGCTCAGAGTGGTTGGTACTGGAGAATGCGGAAGCAGCACTGCGCGGATTGGAAAAACCTGTCGAATTCGAGAGCAGATCGGACGTATGCGATCCGGAGTATACGCAATGGGAACCTGTATCAAGTTATATTGATCAGCTACTCGCCCCATGTGTCGGCGAGGAGGTACGGCAACATTTAGAGGGTCTATGCCCGCCCCGGGCAAGGTATCTGGACGGGCAGTCTGCGGCAGCCTACCTAAGCTTTGGCTTACCACCAGCTGTAGATCGACTCCTGTACACCCGGTCTATGCAAGATCCACTTGTGCAGCTGTTGGTCAAGCACGGCGGCATTCCTGGCATCTCGTCCTGGGACGAAGTACCGCATGTCGACGACCGTCTTCATGACGGTCCCTCTTGTAGCTGTGGCGTGCGGCTATCAGCAGCCCAGCGGAAGGTGGGCGTCCTCGATGTGATGAGTCCCAACCGGCAAACCAAGGGCCTCAGATCTCTGACCCATTTGTGTCGCTCCACGATCAACGCAGCATGTCTTGGAACTAGCGACCTGGCCAGGTCCGTACAGAGCCTTGGACTCCCATCACTGTTGACACGCTATCTTGAATTCTATTGAATTTCAGATGGCGATCAATGTGTGAAAGAAACATGTGCGCAGCCTGCGTCCACGTCCTTAATCTCTATGCGGTTTCCTTGCGCCTGTTATGAAAACGGTATCAATAATGTTTACAGGACAATTGCTTTCCGAAGAGGATGAGAACGGTTAGTTAAAAAAAATACTTCGAAGTATTTTCTTAGCAGTCTCGTGAAGCCAAATATCTTAGCACCTGTCTCTCAATGACTTTTTTTACTTTACTTTCCAAACTATGCCAGTCGTGTTTTTTACACTTTTAGAATAACGTACATGTAGAAGCTGCGACCAACTAGGCCATTTGAAATTTGAAACACTCCACCACTCCGCACCGCGTTCTTAGCCCACTTTTGCAACACTGTACTCCTCCATAGCAAGGAAATTCTTGGGTAGATGTTGCATATCCTGCAGACAGCTGTTTCGCTCTAGAGGATATTCAACATCTACCCAAGAACGAGTTTCCTCGCTATGGAGTATGGTGTTGTGAATGTGGGCCAAGAGCGCAAGGTGGAGTCTGTGTTGCTCCTTATATACACACACGAGCTTGCACTTTTCCTGCCGACTTGGCTTGCCACTTGACTGACCCACGATTGCCATCCAGAGCACATGGGAAATCCTTCGAACCTTCCACTCGGCAAACCTGCAAAAAAGGCACCATTCCCTGGTCAAAATACAGTGAGTACGTGAGTGTGTTCGATTATGCCCGCGAATCGATTTGCGCTAGTCACATCACCCCATGTGAATAGGGTGAATGCACTCCGAATCGATTCCAGGGCTCATGACATGAAATCGAACGGCGAGATTCCGTTCATGAATCGATTCAAGTGCATATCGAACGCAGCCAGTGAGAGAGAGGGGGAGGGGGGTAGTGCTAATATTGTTGATCCTGCATACCTGCAGTGTACGCGGCTGGGATTTCACTTACCCATTTGTTTATACAGGTCAACGGATTTGGGCGCTCCACTCCGTATTACATTTTGTTGAACTTTCTGATCCACACATCTTTTTGTGTGCCCGTTTGAATTTTCGGTCTTCATCCCTGGTGCGATAAAGACCGCAGCCGTGGGTGGATTGGATAAACGAGGGACTGTGTTCACCGGAGTGACGTGCCTGACACGCTGCGGTTCAGCGGTATTGGCCACTTCCATTTCCCCCGGGTATCCCGTGAATTTATAAATTCCATGATTTTGACTCTAACATTTCAGAGGATCGAGTATGTAACCCCGGGTTATATCATGTGACTCTTGGTGTGAATGATACCAAGACTTGATGATTCATGTACCTGACTGTACCTAGCAGGCTTCTGGTAGGCTGAATAGTTCGATACGGTCAAGAGTTCATGGACCCTTCTTCAAGGTCTTGTCCCTTGCAGTCTTGGTAGTGGTAGAGGAAACGGTTTCAATAGTTCGATCAAGTCTGGCCTCAGAGCAAACTTACTTCAAGTTCAACATGCCAACTAACTACTTCCTGTACCCTGATGATCGGTTTGGGTCTACACAATTTTGCTGTCAAACCGCTCCTATTTGAAACCGTCTCCTGTACGAGCGAAAGTCGAACGTGCAACTTCGAAGGCCGAGCGAGTCATGAATCGAGAACAGAAACTCAAAGAGTTTACGGTCATTCTGCACTTGATTCTTTCTATTTTCGGTTTACCGGCACTTGTTTGCGAATCCATGACCAGCCTCAACTACTTCACTCAAAACGGTTTTTGCTAAAAAAAATGGAGTAAACATGTTATGACTTTTGCATGCATTCCACGTGGTGTGGTGCGGCGGCCATGTTTGATGACGTTACCTTGCTTGGAGAATAAAAATGGTGGCCGTTGTCGGCCTTTGCAAGGAGGCGGTGGGAAAGAAACGCTGTGGAGGATCGCGACCAACCATGGCAGAACCAATGGATCTGGCCCTGAAAAGGTCATTATTTACTTCTAGTTTGTATGTTGGACGTTTGGTCGTCCTTTGAGCGATAAATTCTGTCCAGAAATGGTGCTTTGGGCGGATTTGGATTTAGTTCTTCACAAGCTACATTGTGCTTTCTGAAAGTTTTCTCATGATGAGAGGAAGTCGCTGTTGCTCTAAGACTTGTAGCTAGGCTATACTGTGCATGTTACTAGAAGAGAACATATAAATGTAGTGCGTCTGTGACGTTGGGTTGTTCGTTCTCTGCTGTATGCAGTGAGGATGACGGACATGACGATGACCTTGTGAACGGCGGGGGAGACGATCCGAGTGGTCATGTATCCTCAGCAGCAACCGGCTCCTTGTTGGGTGCTGCGCCTGTTTCTTCCGTGGCTTCTGTCACGACGAGTGCCACCACGAGTGCCTCTCTGACTTGCGGGAATGGTGTCGGCAGTCGGCATCAGCCAGAAGCCGTCCTCGATTCTCCTGCAGTTGTGGCGGGAAAGCGGAACAGAAAAGTTTCACACAAGTACATGGACGATGAGCCTGCGCAGGTATGGCTCTCTTGCCTTGCCTTGCTTTGGTGCTTGTTTCTCTGCATCTTGCTTCACTTGAGTGTGTAAGCGTATCTGGGCACATCTATCTGCTCAGCTGTGTGCTTGTACGTACTTCTCTCAGTGGTACTATTGGTGGGAATTTCAAATATTTTTTGTTTGGTTGGTTTGATTACAGTCATCAGTTAGCGGTGGTGTAGCTCGAAGGTCGACAAACCAACTACAGTACATTCAAAGGACTGTCCTGAAAGCTTTGTGGAAGCACCAGTATGCCTGGCCGTTTCTCCACCCGGTTGATCCGGTCAAACATAATTTGCCGGTGAGATTTAGTGCTGAGTGTTCTGTTGCGTTGACTTTCTACTAACTTCTTCTGTGTACCCTTTCAGGAAATATCTGGCATAACATGAACCAAGCACATGAGAGCTACTGCCCAGATGTCTGGAACGAAACACGGGCTCCTGTCTGACATGCATTACTTACACACAGAAATAACTCTGGTCACATCGACAATATATTATTAGTTGCGCACGTGGAGTCTCTGTGCACTTGCTTGGGCGTTTGTACTTGCAGTAAGCACTCCTGTACCCTCAACGTTGTGCAATGCCTCAACGCAACTCGACTATACATCTTATCATGAATTCCAGCACCTCCTGCATCACACCACCAGTAAAATAAAACCCGTATTTATAGTTAATACGGAGGTAGTTACTACGACGACAAATGTTCACGAGCATGCATTACCGGTACATGTACATGTGCGTGGTCCGTTGCACGTGACATACGCCGCCCACCAAACTCCTATGCGGCTTGGAGCGGTTGTGACGCACAGTGCATGCCTGAATTTGGCCTAGCTCCAATGGCGACGACGCAACCTTGGAGAGCTCCGCAGCTCTTTTGACTCTCGCTCGATGGTGCTACTGCTGTCACTGTACTTGCAGTTATTCCCACGGTGAAATGTTTTATAGCCCCTGATGAAACCTAAGAAGGTTGAACCAGTTGGACTTGGGTAGCATTAGAGAGGTTCTGTAAAACGAAAGTGCGCACGAAGTTTCGCGATGGGTTCCGTGAAAGTGTGCGAATTTTCACACAAACTTTGAGTTCTGCACATTTTTGTAGTTTGCACGCACCCAAGTGCACATACACTGTGGACACGTTGACCCGATCTCACGAAACTTCGCGCGAAAGTTCATTTCGCGTTCCCTGCGAGCTTCGCGTCCAAAGTTGCGAAAACTCGCGCGACAGTTTCTCACTTCATGACGTAGAGCGAAAGTTTGTACGCATTTTCGTTTGCAGAACTTCTCTGTTGTCTTTACTTGGTGCGTGTTATTTGGGGCCGGTGAAATATCTCTTCGGCTTTTCTTTTTTTAGATGTTGCCAGTCCTTCCTTTCTCTTTTTCTGTATGAGCCCGAACCAAGCTAAGAAAATCCCAGTTTCTCTCCACATGCCATCTGGGAATAGGTTTGAAAAACAATATAATTATATATTTCTAATGTCACATTCTGGAACCGTTTTATGTGTTCCCGTTGCACAGGACTACTTCGACATCATCAAGGAACCGATGGAGCTGTCGACAGTCAAGAGTCGTCTGGAAACTAACTACTACACGTGTGCGCAGCAGGCGGCTGATGACCTAAGCCTGATATTCTCCAACTGCAAGACGTACAACAAGCCCTACGATGTAAGGCCCTGCTAGTGGCAATGTGTGTGTGTGTGTGTGTTCTTGTGTGCTTGTGTGCGCAAGCTTTCTGGTCAATGCCGGGTGTAGTTTCTCTGAAGCCAGTCTTATCAACGCCGGTATCATGTTAAAAAAAGCATAGGTGTTACTAACGGGATACATTTACCGTATTACACGTGCCAGGGTCAGTAATACAAGCTGCTGCAAATGCTGCTTTTCATGGGGTTAGGCACCGTGTCGGCACATCAAGCCATTTAGCTTCTCCAGACGTGACTCCCTGGAGCTCATAGGAATCAACTACAGGGTGCGTAGCACCCTTGAAAACCCTTGAAAACCCTGAAAGTTTTTCTTCCCCCGGGAATTCCCTGAAATCCCCTCAAATTTTGTATTTTATTAGAAAATGTCCCTTGAAACCCCTGAAATTTGTTTTCCAGATCACGCGACCTGGTAGACTTCCGTACTCAGTGACTGACTGTAGATATACATGATATGCATAGATCTACGAGTGCCAGTCCGGTGACCTCCGGTCACCTGTGCTGTTCATGTGAGTTGACGGCCTCAGCGGCCAGCGCAGCTCGCGTAGATCTTTACGGTATTTTTTACATTTGAGCCTTGATCGCCATGTACGCTCGACTATCGACTGCGGTACGACGGTTCCTGACTTTAGCGAAACTGGAATCCGCCACTGCAACTGCTTTTCCGTTTTATTTCTTTGTTTTGGCCTTCAACAAGACAAAGTGTCTTCAGTTTTTTTTCGGAATGCCGAAGACGTTTTACAGAGTTGTACTTGTTCTCCATGCCGAAAAGCAAGTGTGTTTTCAACGATCGCTGGTTGTCTTTGGACCCGTACAAAGACTGGCTAGTTCGCTAAGAACTCAGCGATGGAGAAGCTCGATGGTGACGTTGGCTCTACTACTTGTAGTATTTTATTGATGATCAAATCTTCGATTATTGACATTCTGAATTAGTGAACCTCTGCTTGGCTACGGATATGTGGTGTCTAGCGACTGTATGACATCTGTGAATACCCTTGAAATGCCCCTGGAAATCCCCTGAAATTTTGTGTATATGTTGTGCTACGAACCCTGCAACTACTTTTGTTCGCCTCTAGTGAGCTGTGTGGTATGGAGAGAAAGTCTGCTCGCACCTGCAAACTGCCTTTGTTCAGTTGTTGACAAGCTGCTTTTTTCCTCCTTTTTCTGTTGTTGATGTGTTTGGTTGTTCAGGATGTAACCATCATGTGTGGTGAATTGGAAAAGGTCTTTCTCGAAAAGATGGAGAAGATGCCGCCGATGGTGGGTTCTGTGTTTCTTGTTCCCCAAGGGTTTTGTTTCTGTAGCTTTGTGCTGTGGCAATGTACGTGAGTGTGGCCTTAGTATTTATAGGAGTGCATCCACGTCTGGCGAAAGATCCTAATTTTGGTGATCGGGCTATATATATATATATAGAGAGACGTAGGCGAACAAAATTTATATACACACAACAACAAGGTTGTCAATTTCATAATACTAAAAGCTTTTCACCCATTTTCATCAGTAGATACATGGGAATGAGCAAGAACGAAAACGAAGCCAGAATTTATACTGGGGGTAGAGAATCAGCAAGAATATTCTTACGCGCCTCAAGTTCACACTACACTACCATAAGAATGTATGGAGCGGTGGAAAAATGCGGGAAACAACACATGAGGGGAATGCAGTACCAGAACAAACACGTGATAAAGCTGTCAGTCCGGTTGCAGCTTGAACAGCCGCAGCACCTTGATGTGCTTCTTTTATATATACACTGCACGATCAGGTCCTCACCAGAGATACATCATCGTTCTTTGCAACTCTGAATTTCATGAAATGAATCAATCATCAGGCAATAGAAACAAACTGATACAGGGCAACTAGATCACTACAGGTTATATACCCAGTCACACAGCAAGCGCGAAAGAAGGCACTAAGTTAGGGGTGAGAATATTCCGTGCTAAAAAAACAGGCTTCAGGTGGCAATGTTTAGGGCTCTGTACTTGTACTGTGTGCATGAGGAGGGTATGGCTCTTTATGCTAATAGGTTATGTCGCTATGCATAGTTCACCGTGGTGTTTTCGATATCGGTGCTGTGTCGGCCACAGGAGGAAGTCACTCAGCCTGGCTCTGAGAAGCGGCAAGCACAGTCGACGACTCGTTCTGTCAAGAAAGAAAAAGATGCATCCCCGTCAAAGCCAGCCAAAGCTGCGGCTCATCCACAGGAAGCAACAAAGTCGGCAAAGCGGAACATCATGACCACACCGGGACCGGCACCTGCGGCTGCCGTGCCTGCGCCCGCACCCGTGCCTGTCCCAAGCAGTGTACCCATGGTGACCACAACAACGGGATCCAAAGCGGTGAGTTTCTGTCTGTGTGTGTGTGTGTGTGTGTGTGTGTGTGTGTGTGTGTGTATGTGAGAGAGAGAGAGAGAGAGAGAGAGAGAGAGAGAGAGAGAGAGAGAGACGTCTTCATCCGGTCCTTCCATTTATATTAGTAATAGGTTCTTCATTCGACCCAACGAGACCACACGTCACTTGAGACATTAGCACGAACAGCTCACCAGCCACACTCCACGATAGCAAGTAGTGTTACTCCTGACAAGTCTTGTTCCTTTCCATAAGATGGCGGGAACTCATCAGGGGGAAAGCATTTGTTGAATACTGTGAGTAGTGCTATCAAGATTATATACTCTTGGTGCTATTTTATGCAGAAGATTCTGGCGCAGGGTGTGCACTCAACCAAGAGTACATAATCCCCCAGAGTGTGCAACTCTACTATGGGTGCTGTCCCGACAGAATTTCAAGTTGACGTCATTTTGATGATGCAATGCGCACTGTACACGGATTATCAGACGAATCCGGAACCTGTGGTTGACCGAAGCCGATCGATCCTGTACAAATTATTGCAAAGAAAAACGTGTGATGCATTGACACCCGTACAAATCACTGGTGCAAGGAGCAATGACGTCAACATGAAATTCTTGGGACAGCAGGGTATGTGGGAGTTGCACACTCTGGGGGGGGGGGGTTATGTACTCTTGACTCAACTAACTCACACCAGGTGACGAACCAGCAGGAAAGGAATAGCGCGAAATGGAGTCAATCAGAAGGAAAGAGAAAGAGAGGTGCACAAATAGGCTGAGCTATAAGTTACATGTCACTGGAGTGGTGACAGATATATTTTTGCTTTGGTCTGTAAGCCCCGTGTTGTCTCGTTGGGTTAAGTCTAATGTACGACCTTGTACTGCTTACTGCAATGTTGCAGCAAGCCGTTTTCTGACCGTTTTCTTTTAACACTTGTCAGTGGAATCTTGTGACAGAAGGTAATGGTGAAACAACAATAGGTTGTATACACTAGGAGTGAAAAAGGGGGGAATACCAGTGCGAAAATAGCATGTACTTGATAATGTGCGAAAATAGCACGTACTTGATAACATTACTCTGACATGAGCTGGGACATTTAGCAAAGATAGCAAGCTGTGATGTGAGATGCAATGTGAGAATGCATGTTTGAATGTGGTGAGTGTGTGGAATAGTGGGAGCGAGGTGACGTGTTGACCGTACTCACCATCACGTTATGCCTTGCTATCTTGCTAAATGTCCCATCTCGCTCTCATCTGTATGTATCTATCTTGTGCTTGTGTAGCATTTTCGAATTATGTGTTAGTTTCTCGCTTGTATTCTCTTTCGTCACTCCAAGCATATAAATCCCATTGTTGTTTCATTGTTGTTGTTTCACCATTCTTTACTTTGATTGTTATCTGAGAACGGATTATTTTGCCATTGCTACGTTCAGTGTCCACCGATTTAATTCTACTCATTGCTGCAGTACAGCCATGTCACTCTGGAAAGCGTTGCTTGCTTTTTACTATTTCTCTGACCAGCAGTCTAAGAAGACGGTAAAGAGGCAACAAGCGGACACAACAACGCCAACCGCGGCGCCGGTGGCCGCATTATCCGTTCAGTCACCGCCTAGCGCTCGCATTCCCGTCACCCTGCAGACGGCGCCGGTCGCTGCTCTGCCGATGCAGTTGCCAGTGTCCCTGCCTGCACCGGTACCAGTGACGACCGCTCCGGCCAAGGTGCCAGCTGCCGCCACCGCTGCTGCTGCAAGTCCCGGGCCGGGCCTGCAGGTGGTTGGGGAACGTCGAGGGTCGGCGCGGACCGTGCGGAAGCCCAAGAAAGACCTGCCGGAATCTCCTGTAAGTCTGTCCTGCGGTGATTGGCAGAAGCGGTGGTAACGCTCTTTTCTAGCTGCCACCTAGCTCTGTATGGCTGCTGCAAACACACTGCGCTCTGAGATATTCATTGTCGTGTTCAGAACTTTGGCAGATTTGTTGTACCTGTGTCTTATGGTTGTGGTGAGGTTGCATTCCATTGCTGAGTGTAGTCTGCTTTGTTTGGTTTGTGTCATCTGCCTCCTGTACACGTCCAGGTTCGTCAACGCCTGTCCGAACCTCTGAAACACTGTCAAAAGGTTATCAGAGATTTGTGCGGGAAACGACATTCGGTAAGGGAGCTTTAAATCTACATGTGTGCAGTCATTTACCAAAATTTTAAATCTACATGTGTGCAGTCATTTACCAAAATTTACCGAGTAGATAAAGCCGCACTTTGAACACCAGTAATTCACCCAAAAAAGTCGTTGCGGCTACGGTTGTCAAACTAACGGTGATGAGTGGGGTCTATGTCTGTACAGTAACACCTGTCAAGGTGACCACTCGGATAAGGCGACCACCTGTCCTAGAAGACCACGTGTAGACAGGTTCCACTGTATTTTCGTGACTAAAAATCTGGGCGTGGTGTATACTGCGGAAAGTACAGTAAATCCTGTTCAAGTCAGGTTGTGCGTGGTTTCTGGCTGATACCACTGTCTGTTGGTAGACCCCATCGAAAGGGTATGCAGAGTTGCACACTTTTTAAGGAGCGTATGTACTCTTGCTTGTACCTGGCTGTAGCAGACGTTACACTTTACATCCAGGTAGCAACAGAGGGAAATTAACTACGCATGCATTCAAGTAAGCCTGGGCCCGTGGGGTTGTACGCCAACTGTGTACGGGCTTAGTCCCCAGGATTCTACGGTAGAGCATGTAGAGGAGCTGGTGGTCTGATATGTTATGCTAGTCAGTACGCTGGTTCACTGTATGTCGGATTGTGCATTGCGTTTCCAAGCTGTTCTCTGTGACTGTGTGTGCGTGTGTACATGCGATGGTCGGTTACTTCTGTTCAGAGGTACTCCTGGCCCTTTTTGCAGCCTGTCGACCCGGTAGCACTTGGCATCCCAGACTACTATGACATCATCACCCAACCTATGGACCTTGGCACCGTACGAGTAAGTTTTTTTCTGGTGGGGGAGGGGGGGGGGGGGCATGTTCTGCTGGTTAGCGAAAGTGAGAAGGCCTGCTTCTTTCCACCACGTGTTTGGTTGTGTGTGATATTTTGTGCTTGGAGTCTGGGTCTAAGTTACCTAGCACCGTCTGAGATGCAGGTGATCTGTTGTTGAACACTCTCCTCGTCTGTCAGTGTTTTGCTGTTCAGCACGGTGGCCATGACCTGGATTCGTTGTGCGTGTACGTGTCTCTCGTGCCTCCTCTGTAGGACAAGATGGAGCGCTACGCGTATCAGTCCGCTGCGGAATTCGCTGCCGACGTGCGCCTCGTCTTTGACAATTGTCGCCGTTACAACACGCCTGACCATGATGTCGTGCACATGGCCATGCAGTTGCAGGTATGTGCTGCTGCTGCGGCTACCGCAGTGCCGCAATCGGCTATTGCTGCCTACCGGGTCCCGAATGCTCTTCCTTCCTCTTTTTCACTGCTTGCCTCTGACATTGTGTCCTGATGCAGAATGCTTTCGAGGAGCAGTTTGCGCAGCTGCCTGACGAACACGTCCCCGAGGAGAGCGAGGAGGCGACTGCGGGTGAGGAGACCGCATCCCAGAGCGACTCTGGCAGCGGCGCCTCTGGCACAGAGGAGGCCGAGAGTGAAGGATCGGAGAGCGAGTCTGACGAGGAGGACAGGGCTAATAGGTTAAAGCAGCTACAACGCCAGGTATGATCCCTAACGTTTCAGTACAGTACAATTGCCTGCGCCACACTGCACTGTGCGCTCGATTGCAATTCATATGTTTTTGTATCGTGCTAATTTTCAACTGCAAGACCGTTCGCTGATGCGGCCGTTTGCCCTTGTAAAGTGTGCACTTTGTTGTTCTTGTTCGTGTGTGTCTGTCCGTCCGTCTGTCTGTCTGTCTGTGAGACTGTTTTCATGCAATGAACTTTGAAAATCGCGGAAAAATTAGCGTTGGAATCATGATTTTCCCGGGGTTGGACAAATCTGGCTAGCGCTATGAAGCAAGGTCCTGGTTTTGTATGCGTTTTGTTGCATCAATTATTTATTGTGCTTGTGTTTGTTGCGTGTACCTGTTTTGCCCAGCTTTCAATTGTACATCAACAGTTGCATGAGCTTAGCAGTGTCCCTATACCGACCAAGCGCAAGCACAAGAAGGCATCCTCTAAACCCGAGAAGGCGCCCAAGGCTAGTGGCGCTGGTGCTGCCAAAGCTCCTCGAAAGTCTGCCGCCAAACCGAAAACGCCGGCGAAGACAGCTAAGGGTGCGAAAGCCACCAAGGCCACCAAGACGCCCACAGCGAAGAAGACGACAAAGAAAGCAGCAGCCGCAGCTGCAAAGTAAGTGCCAACTGGTTGCCTCGTGCCTGTTCAAGTGTTCATCACTCTGTGCAGCATGGGTGCGGGTGGTACTGGCGGCTGTCAGGCCGGCAATGAGAGAATACTTTGAGTTGACTGTGTTCCACTTCTGAACAGGATCTGCCTGTTGCTGAGATCTTAATTCTTATGGTACAATCAACTGGACTACTAGTATCAACAGTCCATAACCCCAAGAGTGTGCAGCGCGGCGGAATTCCAACATTACGCCAAAAGTGACGTACACCTTCGCTGCGCTCGAAGTACTCCCTGATTCCAAGCACCGCGGAATGCGGAGTCGTCTGTGCCTCGGCGGCATGACATAATGTTGGAATTCCGCTGCGCAGTGGGCCTACAGCAGCCAGACCCCAGTTGCACACTCTTGCTAGTATCCATGAGGTATACGAGGGAAAGTAAGGGCTTTTTTTTGTTCTGACTCATCAGACAGTGAAGGAAACAGCGCAAGTACAGTCATATATGTAGAAGAAGAGGACATAGGAGCGATCAATTGCATTTGGATTTTGGGCTTGGGCACCTTTGTATGGTTTGCAAGTATCCTTACCACCTGCTGTGCTCCTTCCCCTGTGCTTTTGAAGATCTCCGCCTCCACCGCTCAGTGAGGATGATGACGATGTGCCGGAGATGAGCTACGATGACAAGCGTCGCCTCAGTCTCGATATTAACAAATTGCCTGGCGACAAGCTCGGCAAGGTCGTTAACATCATCCAGCAGCGCGAGCCGTCGTTGAAGGATTCCAATCCGAACGAGATCGAGATCGATTTTGAAACCCTTCGACCGCGTACGCTACTGGAGTTGCGCAAATTCGTTCAGCAGTGTCTGTATAAGCCTAAGCGAGCCCCAGGTGAGTGAATTGACCGCCACGTCATGCTCTCCACAGGCACAGGAAACTGTTGATGACTGGTTCCTTTGAAGACTAACTGCTGGTTCCTATCCACTAAACGTGATATGTCTGTGTGCTTGGCCCAAGTTTGTGTTTTTTGTGTTTATTTTATTTTTTTACCGTATATCCGTACGTCTTCACAACACTCTCCAAACGGTCTCAGTCCCACACCAATCACTAAAAGAAAAAGAGATGAATATTCGAGTTTTCGGGCAAGGCCGTTCTTCAGGAATGTACCGTATGTCGGCGACTTTAACCCTTTCACGACCCATTATTTTCGCAATTGAGTCAATTCACAGTCTACAAAAACACAAATTTGTCATATCTCTGCTCTCCTTGGCCATTTCTCTCTAAAAACCACTCTCTGGAAAGCTATTGATGCACTCGTAGAAACTACAACACCAAGCGCCATTCGTGTGTGTTGCGTCGTGATGAAGAAGACGTTTTCAAACTCAAACCAATATGCGCAGCGCGATCTGTCACGAGCAGCTCACCGATTATTTTGTAAAATAGTGGCTCATGGAAACCAGACGAAGTTCTTGTGAAAGTACCTAAAACCCGAAGGATTTCCAGCCCCAAAACGCATACCGTAATGTCGCTTGCATTAGCCGGGGCTTATATGCCTATAAGCCGTGATGGAGTCAGGCTTGTACACAAGACAGGCTTATACACGAGACAGGCTTATATGACAAGCACCACTCAATGACCAGGCTTGTATGCGCAAACTGCTGACTTTTGGACGTCAAAACCAACATTTTCCAACGGGATTTTTTTTCTTTTTTTTCGCAAGTGTACGGTACCATGCAAACATGAACATGTAAAAGGCGCGCTCACCAGTCTTGCGTAGTAGCCCGGCTTACGCACGCGACACGTGGCGCGTCTCGTGTTCTGGCCCGGCTTATGCATGCGACAGGCTTGTACGCGAAAAGCTGTTGCAGATTTCATGCTTCTACACGAGACAGGCTTATGCACAAATCCGGCTTATGCACGCGACATTACGGTAGGTAAGCGGGAAGATATCGGAGTTATTCTCAGCGTGACTGCAACTCAAAATGGTTGAATGCGCATTTTTGATCGCGCACTAGCTTCAAGCTTCGTCGTGCGCCAATTCTGCACCAAGGAGTGAAAGCAAGAGTACATTATCCCCCAAAAGTGTGCAACTCCCACATAACTGGGGATTACGAGGAAAATTATGCACAATATCAACTTCGCGAGGCTCCCGCCATTTACGAAATTAGAACGCTTGCTAAAATTTACCCAAATTGAGCTATTGTAAAGCACGACTAGTTGAAAACATGTACTTTCAAATACTGCACTGCGTAGTACATGTAGCAGCAGCCAATGCGCCATCGATGGCGCTTTACGAAATATAATGGATTTGATGGTGTAGGATAGGTTGAGATTTGTGGTTTTTCTTTCCCTAATTTTAAATGCAGTATCCCAGGAATAGAAATTATTGTAGAAACCCAGAAATCTTTCAATATTTCCAATAATCAGGAAACTAGATAACACATGTGTTCTACTTGCAAAAGAACCTTCAGTCCTTCACTAAAGTGTTATTGTGTAGAACAGATCACACTGCATGTGTGCGCGTGATTGTGATGTGTGTGTGTGTGTGTGTGTGTGTGTGTGTGTGTGTGTGCACGCGCAGGCGTGTGGTGTTAGACTAGTCTGAATGATACACATGTTTGTATTGCTATTGGAGTTTAGTCATTCCTTACTCTTTTCTTTTCTCCCCTGCGTTCTTTCCTGCTCGCAGTCAAAACCAAAGGCAAGGACAGTGCGCAGAAGAAGCAGGAGCTTGAGCAGCGGCTGCAGGTACGGCAGTGTCTGTTGTAATGCCTACTGGGCTGGCTGTGCAAAAAGAAATCAGCTCCCACGAGTGTGGACAGTGTGTAATGGGCCATTCACACTACGCCCAAAACGTGGCGTACGCGACGTTTTCGTCCGGATAGCCATGACAACATGGAACGTGGCTGGAAAATCGTACCCCTGATACGAAAACGTAGACGACGCATCCAGACCCCTGTACCGGGGTTCGTTCTGTCGTTCCTGGCAGTTTGTGTCCAAAAGAAGCTGTGTGCACAGCTGTACGAAAGGCATATACGTGCCTGTGTGTATGCACCTGCATGAAAGCGACGTCTGCCAGTACGTCGTATTCCAAAAACGTGACACGCATTGGAACGTAGTATGAATAGCCTACAACGGAATCACAGCCATTCCGTACCACGGGGCGCAGGACACAAAGGACAAGTATTCGTTTGTTCAACTTTGTTTACAAGTGTTATTATAGCTAGGGCACGACGTGAAAAACAGGGATAACTCCCACGGAACCATATGCGCAACGGATCGGGAGCTGTCTTACGATGTCTTGCGGCGCCGATTTTGCTTATGTGAACCAACCCTTACTCGTGCCTGTATGAATATTGTGTCTGGAGTCGGTGTGTACCTGTGAATGCTCTAAAACATGTAATTTTAGGTGCACTAAACTTTCGGTGCCAGAGATCTGCCAGGTTTCAGGTGTAATGTAGAATTAGGTGACCAGCATTCCCTTCACATACAGTGCATACTCTGGTGCCTTTTAGGTGTAATTTAAATTTAGGTGCCTGGTTTCTCTACCGAAATCACCGAAAATTACATGTTTTACGGTAGCTTGGAACCGCGGCATGGCTATAGCTGCCGTGTTCGATGTGTTGTACTGTACGTGCAGTGGCAACATGCGTACATTTTGTTTTGTTTCACCCGGATGCTTTCCAGTCCCTCTCACTGTGGCAAAATTCTGTAGCAGCAGTTATAACGTTCCGTTTGGCCTGCTTCTCTTTCTCCCTTGCAGGATGTAAGTCATCGGCTGTCTACCACTGGCGGCAAGAAAAAGAAAGGTATGTGGCTTCGGACTGCTGTGGCAAATTTCCTGAGCTACTGTAAGACATGTTATCATAAAAGAGTCGCAAATTTAACGATTGTCCAAAATTCATAGGTTAACGAGACGATATGTTAACGATCTTGAACTATTCCGGCATATCCACGCACAGCATACATGAAGCATTACAGCCTCAAAGAATCTTAACCCTTTTACGGTCTCACATTTGAAAATCGATCACCGGTGATCGATTTTTCAAACTATCGTAACTCAGTCAATTTTTGAGCAAATTCGAACATCTAAATATCTGGGTTGAAGAGAAAGCTCCAGGCTATCCGTAGGAACAATCGCCGAAGCGATAGAGTGAACGGCTGCGATGCTACGAAGCTCGCGATCTGCGTCACGGCTCATTTACGATTTGAGTGGGCGAGCTGGGTCTTGAGGACGGGTTTTTCCCTTTGCAGCTACCTGTCGCCATAGAGACACGGATTCAAATGAGAGTATGGACTCGCAGCACTCCTCACAAAAAATATGAGCTCGATGTGAGCAAGGAGAGGGAAATGGCTGTTGAGTCTTGTTTCTCGTCGTGAATCAAGCACTGGGGCGATGTCGCTGCGCTGCAGCGCTGGATCCACGGCACGCTTGGTGTCGAATTGTAGCTCGGCGTGTTGCTCTTGTCCAGAGCTTTCGAGAGAGCCCAAGATCACGAAAATAAGCGAAGGGAAACTGAAGTTATGGATGAATCAAGGTACGAAATTGTTGAATTCTGTAAATAGCCTCATTTTGACTGGATTCTGAGACCGTGAAAGGGTTAATATAACGAAGAAATGTCGATCGTTAAAACGTTAGATTTACTCCCTCGTTATATATACATGTCTTACAGTAGTGTATGCTTGACTAGCAAGAGTCTTTATCTCTTTGCTCTCCTTGGAACATGACCAAGCAAGCACAATTAGCCGACCACGGCCCAAGCCGTAAACTGTCAATTGGGTAGAATAGAAAGGAAATCCCGAGTTTCACACACTCTTGTGAGCTTACCAGTTTGTAGTCTTGGTCGTGTCCCATTCCGACCTTGGGTTTTATTGTAAAAAAAAGGTTCGACGGGTATTCCGGGATATACGGTAAATGGTCTTTAACCCTCTTCTTTTTTCCCCGCGTGACTCGTATCCTTGCAGAGGTGGCCAGCTCTGGTGTCGCTACGCCATCTAGCACGATGCCTGCCATTCCATCGCCTCACACCACACGCCTGAGTGACAGCAGTAGCAGCGACTCGTCATCCGATTCTGATTCTTCTTCAGACTCCGGCTCGTCGAGTGATTCGGACAGTGGCAATGAGCTGTGAATGTCTTTGTAATCAGGCATGAACTGCTGCTGCTTGTACGTGCAGTGTGAGAGATGTGGTTCTAAGCCTGCTAGCTGCTCAGAAGTGTTTTCAAGTGGCTGCAAGATTCCATGGTGTAGTCCGCTCTACCACTGGCGGCTTGTGCGCACGACTTAATAGTGGGTCGGGCGGATTTGTTACGGCGACACTTGGCTTGGCACAAATTTCTCCCCGACGGCTCTCTGCAATGCACCTAATTCTCCTGCGGGCATGTTCGTATGTGTGAATACTCGACGTTGGTGATTCTGTAGTAGCTGACCGCTAGCCCAGTACCAGTAACTGTGCATCGGCATAACCACCCGCGCTGTGTGCGATCCAGTGTCCGCAAAATCATCTCCGCAACCCGGTGTTGTGGAGACCGTACCAGTACCCTGCATGTAGTGATTGCAGCTGCTTTGCGCTCTTAACCCGGGCTCCACGTCCCAGAACTCCACATCTCGCTGCAAAGCTGGCTCGGCACGTAGCTGCAATGCGGCTGATCCGCTGGCGGCGACAAAAACACAAAACAACAACCTAAAGCCTGTGTGCGCAGTACGTTCTAAGCGTAAGCTGTGTAAGTGTGTCCGGCTTGCTCAGAAGGAACAGCAGCCGTCTATAGTCACAGGGTGCGCCGCAGCCAGAGCTATCATCACGCCTTGCACTTGCCAGCTCCGCTACCCGGCACCTGCTATCCCCATAGTGCAGCGTGAGAAGGATAGCGACAATTGACAACGGACTGTCTCTACCACCGCGCGCGTGTGTGTGTGCCGACAATCCTCTGCTGGCTTTGTTTACTTGAGTCTGTGTGCATGTTGGCTTGTACACATTGCATTTTCCTGTTAGTCCTGTGTTTTCCTGCTATAGTCTAAAGCATTTGGCTTACCGCTATTCCGTGCCTTTTTTTTTTTTTATAGCTGAATCGTAGTGAGCTGTAGTTGTAGAACTAAGTGCCTGCCCATAGCATCATCGCCCTCACAAAAAAAGTAGTCAAATTCCTCCTCCATGTTGTGGTCGTCTTGTGCACCATTCATAAAAAAAATGTTAATAGGTGCTGTGGGTTTGTTAACCTTTGCCATCATGCGATGCCCCCCCCCCCCCCCTTCCCCCTTTTTATTACTTTCTGTGTGTCTTTCGATCTTTTGTGTTGCTTTTGATTGTGTCCGAACTCTGCTTGCACAGATTGGTGTGTGTGCCTGTGTGTGTGCGTGTGTGTGACCAAGGTTATGCCGGACGGCTACTGACTCACAGCACATGACCGCTTGCCTTTGATGGTAGTGGGTGATATTGTTGAGAGCGTGGCTGACTTCAGGTATCTCGGCGCCATCGTACATACAGATGGTCGATCGGCTTATGACATCAAGTCACGCATTGCTGGAGCATCGATGGCCTTTGGGGCGCTGCGTCGTACGGTGTTCATGGACCGCAACCTATCAGTTGCCACTAAGCGCCAGGTGTATGAGGCATGCGTTGTATCCCTGCTGGTCTACTGCTCTGAGTGCTGGGTGCCGCTGAGCCGGGATGTAGCCGCCCTCTCGACATTCCATATGAGATGTACCGGTATCCGTTCGATCCTGGGCATCACTCAACTTGACATCTGGACATACCGCGTGACTAACACTGAGGTTCTGGCAATCTGGAACTCTGCCAGACAAGCCGATCTACCGACCCGGCTCCTGCGTCGCCGAATGGAGTGGCTTGGTCATCTGTGCAGAATGGAGGAGGAGCATACTCCGCGTCAGCTACTGTTTGGCGCCCTCTTGCCGACCCGTCCTGCCTGTGGCCCTCGGAAGAGGTGGCGTGACGCCGTGAGAGCGGATGTTCGATGCCTCGACCTGGGCGATGAGGAATGGTTTGACCTGGCACAAGAGCGCAGTGAATGGCGAGGGGCGTACTCCAGCGTTGCGTCATCTGGACCACGCCCGCAACCACGAACACCATGCGCGGTCTGTGGCCGGTCACTGTCGAAGAGTGGTATGGCCCGACACAAGTGCAAAGAGGAGCGCAGCAAGCCGATCGCAGATCAGATTGGGAGCAGGAAATGCCCGGCGTGTAAGAGATGGTTCAGGAGCGCCGGAGGCCTCGCCGTCCATAAGTGTCGACCCGACGACGATCGTTCTACAGTTCTACAGGCACTCCTTTGTCTGCGCCCAACTCGGTTGCGACAGTACCAGTGTCGGCGAGGACTCAGCTAACACTACCCTGCTGCCAGGCTCATTGCAGCGCATGTGGCAGAGGCTGCCGATCAAAGGAGGGTTTCCAACTCCACAGCTGCGCAAAGTATACCCGAACTCTGGTTGGCCGTTAGCCTGCGGAGCGTGCTGCGTACCGTATTCAACGACCTACCCCCATGTCTGTCGGCCCCTCGTATGAGGGGACATGTGACCGTTTTACGGCAATGTTCAGGACAGGTGTGTGTGTGTGTGTGTGTGGTGTGTGCCAGCTAGTTCGGTTGGTGGGTACACTTATGCCGGATAGTAGGGAGGTTTCGCTCTACGGAATTACGTATGAAAATAACGTAGGAACTGCACGGAATTTTCATACGTAAAAATCAGAGCTGCTGGGTTTCGCTCTACGTGATTTACCCACGACTGCTAAACATGCGTTGTTGCTTTGGAGACGCGTTGGCTGCATGCGCCCACCGCATGCACCATGAACCGAAACAGCGTTTCCATCTTATTTTGCACGTGGTGTACGGTGTGTGTACGTTGTGTTTCGCGCAGCTTGAACGTTGCCATGGACAAATGCGGAAAATGCGAAAAAAATATTTCAAAAAGTCCTACGAAGGACCCAACGTAGGAAAGAGCTTCCCTACGGAAATCCGTAGAGAGATTTACGGATGAAAGCTGCCCTCGCTCCCCGGCGCGTACGACATACGGATTTTCATACGTAATTGCGTAGAGCGAAACCTCCCTATTGTTGGGTCTGTTGCCTACAGGCTCGACTGCTTGAAGGTGTAATGTTGTACCTACCACCTTTGTTGGTTTCAGGGTTCATATACTTTCTATTTGAAGTATACCTGTTAACAAGAGTACATAACCCCCGGGGGGTTATGTACTCTTGCTGTTAACTGATTTAGCCACCCACACTAGTAGCAAGAATTACCTTCACTGGGGTCAGGGGTAGCTGCAGTTGGATCCCGGGACGGATACCCTGATGCCGTCAATCCTTTTTTCTGCACCTTACTTGTCCTCGCCCACTTACTGAGGTGTGGTGAGCCCATAAGTGGGATCATTTTCAAGTCCACCCAGAGTTTTGGGGATTTCAGAGGGTGTCGGCGTTGGGCGGTTCAGAATCACCTTTCCAAGAAGTGTGTGTGTGTATGTGTGTGACTGTGTTGTGTGCGCGTGTGTATGTGTGACTGTGTCATGGGAACTCAACGGGTGGACTGTCTTATCTGCCACCGTTCGTTTCGTCGGCCAGGTGACAAAGCAAGACACAAGTGTAGCGCAGAGCGAAGTCTCCCCATCCAGGAGCAGCGTGGTGCTGTGCAGTGTGGTACATGCAGGAGGTGGTTTCACTCTCGCGGTGGCTTGCGTGTACATCATTGTTTGCCCCTGGAACCATCGGAAGCGTCCGCGCCGGCATCACCTATTCCGCTCAATGTCCCAGCTTCTCTCTTGTGTGTGACACGCAATCGGCAATTCAAGTCAGTGCCTGGTTTCAGACGTCACAAGTGCGACCGTGGCCATCGAGCAACCAAGTCTGATAGAGCGTCGTATGGTGTTCGCTGTTCTCGCTGCAACCGTCAGTTCCGTCGACAGAGTGACCTGAGTCGCCATCTCCGTTTCTGCTCCTGACAATGACTCTGGCTCCTTTCGGAGTGGTGTGGCCCTTGTGGCAAAAGGCCTGTGACTACCGACCACCCCTTGGTTCCAGCAAAAGCGGTCTTTAGTACCAGGTGGTCTTTAGTTAGAGGTTTGCACTGCGTGACCTTATATGGATCCCATTAGTTGATATGTATGTCAAAATGCAGCCAATACAATTCCCCAGAACTTGCGCAATACCATTCTTATTTTAGGTCAAACAACACTTGGAGAGAAAGACGGAGAGATGGAGAGAGTCAGAGAGAGGGAGAGGGAGAGAAGAGTTTAATTTTTGCAGACATCAAATTCAGCTGCCACTTCTGAAGCCAGGAGTCAAACGCTCCCTGTGTAAGTTTCGTTTTGCGCTGGGCTTCAAATTAATTTGTTCATGCAATCAATCGTACCGACTGTCCTTGTGCGGACTTCTCGATTGCTTGAACGCGATCCGTCAGCATCAGGACCTTGTGGTGCTGCTTCAAGTGTGGTTTACGGATTCCTTGATGCCATCATCGATTCGTCTGTATGACTGGGGTGACAGAGCCGCTCAGTCTTCGTTTCTCCTCCGAATAGTAACATCGATCAGAGAGCGCGTCCGATGCACTCTCCAAGACGTTTCCTATCATGACTTTGTTTGTTTATTCTTCACAGGGCTTGAAACTTTGACAGGTGCAGTGCAGTCCACACCGACTGCACAGTCAAAATGACCTGCGTTCATTTGTTCAGCTGGAATATCGAAAGATTCCTATCAGGACCTTGGAAAATCAGCAAAATTTCAAGAAGGAGCTTCGAGCAACATTTGATTTCCTACATCGCGGTCGCTAGTTACGGGTCAAAAGTAGTAGTAGTAGTAGTAGTAGTAGTAGTAGTAGTAGTAGTAGTAGTAGTAGTAGTAGTAGTAGTAGTAGTAGTAGTAGTAGTAGTAGTAGTAGAATCTATTATTTTGATAGGGAAGGCCCTACAGACGTTGCCGTCTTGTTACAGGGAACCCTAAGTGCTCTTTACAGAGCGAAACAAAAACGGATAGATGCTCAACCTGACGACACAAAAAGTCGTCTTTGGGACAAGAAAAGGCGGTCGCTGGTCGCGTTCAGCAGGTTGTCGCTAGTCACAGTGCATTTTGAATGTGAGACCGTCCGTACCCGTGCCTGGAGAAGTGGTCGGTAGTATCAGGCTGGTCGCTAGTCACGGTGGTCTTTAGTTACAGGTTTTACTGTAGTACTAGTAGTAGTAGTAGTACTAGTAGTAGTAGTAGTACTAGTAGTAGTAGTAGTACTAGTACTAGTAGTGACTGTGTGTGTGTGTGTGTCTTGCAAGCTGTTGAATGGTGTAATCGTAGATTCCGCTAGGACCCGCAGGGTCCGACGTGGAATCGGGGTTACACGAGGAGTGAAGGCGAAGAATGTGACAGTGTGTTTGGCCTCAAATCGCTCTAGTTTTCCATAAATTTCCAGCGGTTTAAAGATAAAAATGCAAATGCACGCCTTGATTGCACCTAGCACCTCTTGCTTTCTTTGGCCTTTTCTGAGCGACCAAAATGATAGTGCAATCAAGAGTAGTGACAGTGAGGGGTGGGTGACACCAGCACAATGGGCGGGAACACACTGTCACATTCTTCGCCTTCACTCCTCGTGTAACCCCGATTCCACGTCGGACCCTGCGGGTCCTAGCGGAATCTACGATTACACTTCGGAGCTTCGGCTTCGAATGTGACAGTGTGACTTTTAAAGTGATCCACCACCTCAACCACGGCAAGTGCGTAGCCAAGCATTATGCGCGTGTGGAGTGAAGGAACAGGCATCTCGCAGAGTGCCTGATATAAAGTAAAAAAGTCTCTATGTGTCGAGGATACACCATATGTACAGGTGCCCTTCAAGTCGGAGACAAGAAGGGAGAAAAGGGTGACAGTCAATTAAAAGCGACTAGCACAGAACACAGATAATAATACTGCGACACTATGGCGACACGACATGCAGCCAACTGCTTCAGCTCGTCTGCCAAGCCCTTGTTGGTAACGAAAGCCTGGTACATGGTGGGTCGGGCACAAGGTACACGTGCATGCAGTACCGGCGTATCCGCCATATCAGTACTAAACAGTACGAGACTGATCTGGTTGCTAGCTATGGTTGCGTAGATATTCCAGGATACGTACGATGAAATGCTATCCACAGTAGTAAATTACAGATATGGTTACTTGGACCTGCCGTTGTACGGAAAGGGCCGCGCTGATATGCACATATCATATGGGCAATGAATTGATCCCAGTTATGGATGCGGCAGTAATCGGGCAAGGCCGTGGCTGCCCAGACCAAGAAGGGGGTGGTCCCTCGCGGTGCCCGAGGTGGGCACTAACTTGAGTAGTGGAAGGCAGTATACCACA